AGGTCGAAACTGAGGTCCCTAGGGCAGCAGAGGCCGGCTTATATACATGGGGAGATTAGGGCAGGCTGTGCACGTTGGTCCGTGCGCAGCTGGTCTGTGCGCAGCATGCCGACGCGGCCCCGGGGGCCGGTGAGTCAGAGCGGCTGTGTCAGCGGGGCCCGAGCTGTGCCGTGCGCTGCCGCCCCATCTAATCTAATCGTACAGTAGATAGTGACGCGTCCATATCAGGCAGGTAGTACAGAGGTCGCGGGTTCGAGCCCGCGAAAAGGAAAAAATTAAAAAACGGCTAGGCGCCGTACCAACTCGTGACACTGTACTTACTTGCTTACCTTTACTAACTTCTACATTTTCTTGTTCCTAGCCTTAGGTTCGAGCCTCGCTCACCATTGCTTCGGTAAGATAAGTCGAATGCCCCCAGCTTTAGGTTTTCCCCTGTTGCTTGACCCTAAGTTGCAACAGCGCACTGGAAAGCAGACCCCAGACATGGATATCTGGAGCCGGCATAGGTTGAAGGAATTGTCCATCAGTCTGCTCTCAGGAAACTAGACTCTCAGGCAGGTTCAACCAGTGCGGACTCTCAGGCAGAGCAACACTTATCAATATCATTTTGTACTGAAGCGACTTGCACATCACTGGTTCACTGAACTAATTGGCTGCAAACCCATGTTATAGTGTTCCTCAAGGCTTCAGTAACCTCTTTCGTGCTAAGGGGCTCATTGACCGGTGGAATATGGATGAAGAGCACGGGCGTGGACTTCTTTGCGTGTGTGGCAGTGCGCTCGGACTCGGCGAGGGAGCAATAATTGATGAAGTCGCACAAATAGCGGCCAGCATCGAGCGAGAGAGCAATGTGCTATGAGACATGATGTAAATCTTCCGATACAGCATGTAGGCGTCGGTACACATACCTCCTGGCCAGTCGACTTGATATGCTCGAGTAGCGCAGGGCAGTCGATGGGTGTGAGCAACTCTTCGGGGGAGTCCTCGTAGCCGTTGCCGAAGCCGCGCACGGGCGGGTCACCCTTGTGCACGACGGGGCAGAACTTGCCGTCGGCATCGTCCTGATCATAGCCGTATTTGTGGCCGAGCTGCTCGAGACGGATGGGGTTGCCCGCGCGGCTCATGACGCCAACGTGCAGGATGAAGTCGTATCCATCAGCAGGCGGGGGTGCGACAGCAGACGCGGGGCCTCTGGGCGCAGGTACGACGGGAGGGCGGGCGTGCAGGCCGGGGACGAGGGAGAGCACGGCGTCATACAAGGTAGGCACCTCGAGGGAGGTGATGTGGACGGGCCGCGGGGCTGGGCCGGAGGTGTACGCGGTGGTGTTGTGGAGGGGCTTTACCGCGAGCCAGGAAGGGTTGACCTTGAAGGTGCGGAATGGCTAGACGGCGTGTTAGCGGGGTGGGATGAGTTGTGTGCAGGGTAACCTACGCCGTATCCCGTAACGAGCACGCGGAGGGCGCTGGGGTCGACGGGAACGGGCATGTCTGGCTACGTGAGGCATGGAGGGGCAGCAGCAGGTATTTATGCTGTACATGAGTAGGCACGGATAATGAGAGAGGCTGTTGTTATCTGGCATGGACGGATGCCGGAGGACGCCACCGGCGATCAACCCCGTCGATCGTTCCTGCCCAACGCGCGCAATTGACGCGTCTAGACACCGCCCGCACCCTGCCTCTCAGACTATGCAAAGCTGAACTCCTGCTTTACCATGTCCAAACAGTTGGAACTCGGTTCGTGCCGTACCTTTTATTTGCTGACTGTCGCTGACTATAAATCCTAGTGCAATGGTACGTGTCTTCTGGGGCGACTATAACCGTGCTGACGTCTGTATGTTCTTAAGCCCAGTCTGCTCTCGGAGTATTCCAGAAAAAGATATCAATTACCACTTGGATAACAACTGCTCTGATGTATCCATTCCCTCTGCGACACAGAAGTTTAAGAGTGGCACATCTTCGCGTTCCACACAACCCTCGATTTCGTCTTTGTTCACCCCAAACAGCAAAACCACGCGTTCAGACGCGTCCTTCTCTCAGACACCGCTCTCATCGACACAAAGGAACTCTAGGAAGAGGAGCGAAGTAGAAGACTACCGTCTGCCTGAGCAAGGGCACTCCAAGCGAAGCAAGCAGAGTCACTCTGACCGCCTGCAGTCAGCTGCCCCGCTTGCGGAACGCCTCCGCCCCAGCAGTCTAGACGAATTTGTCGGGCAGCCTCACTTGACTGGTCCTGGCTCCTTGCTCATGCACCTCCTAGGATCTGGAGCGACGGGCAGTATGATCTTCTGGGGCCCTCCTGGGTGAGTCGATTGCTCCGCTTCTGCTAATCCAGCCACATATATCTCAAATAATGCGCCACCCTGCGCACAGCTGTGGGAAGACGACGCTGGCTAGACTACTCGCCAAACGCACAGACGCCATCTTCAAGGAGCTCAGCGCCACGGATTCTGGTATCTCAGATGTGCGCGCTGTTGTCGAGGAAGCCAAGGGTGTTCTAGCCCTCACTGGCAGGCAAGCAGTGTGTCACAGGAAGTCGGGCAACGCTCACGGCGTCCACTAGACGAACAATCTTGTTTTTGGACGAGGTCCATCGGTTCAATAAAGCACAACAGGTGCGTTCTTGACGCGTACAGACTCACCAATGTGTGCTGACAGAAACAGGATATCTTTCTACCATTCCTTGAACAAGGTCATTTGCAAGTAAGAACTTTGTAACGAATCACCAACCGTTGGCTAAACGTTCTCAGTTGATAGGAGCGACGACCGAAAACCCATCCTTCAAGTTGACTGGTGCCCTGATAAGTCGCTGCCGGTAAGTAGCAAGCATATCAAGCGGCAAGGCTGCTAACGTCGTCGTGAACGTAGGGTGTTTGTCTTGGAGCGCCTTACAGACGACGACATTACGAAAATCGTCACACAGGCGGTTGAGCGTGTCTCGCCAACTCTGCAAAAGGAGATGTCGGAATTTGATCACGATGACATGGAGGACATACCTAGCTCACAACCAGAGATAGAGGACTCGATATCACATCCACCCTCTTCACTGCCGTCTGCCAATACCGCATCACAGCCTTGCCCTGCGTACCCACACCTCACGCCCAAGATTCTATCGTCTATCGTCTCGCTCTCGACCGGCGACGCGCGCACCGCACTTTCGCTGCTCGAGCTCGTGCTCTCCTCCCCGCCGGACGCAGACCCCGACGCGCTGCTCGCGTCACTGCGCCAGTCCGTGTCGACGTCCTACGATCGCACGGGCGACAGCCACTACGACATGATCTCCGCGCTGCACAAGAGCGTGCGCGGCAGCCAGCCGAGCGCGGCGCTGTACTGGCTCGCGCGCATGCTCACAGCGGGCGAGGACCCGCTGTACGTCGCGCGCCGCATGGTCGTGTGCGCGAGCGAGGACATTGGGCTTGCGGACAATCACGCGCTGCCTCTGGTACGCCTTGCGGCTTCTTGGATGCTTAGACACCGCTCACGCTTTGGTGTTCCAGGCCATGGCGACGCTGCAGGCATGCCAGGTGATCGGGATGCCGGAGTGCCGCATCAACCTTGCGCATCTAATCTCGTACCTCGCCGAGGCCCCGAAGTCGACGCGTGCGTACCAAGGGTACAATCGCGCGGAGGCGGCTGCGAAGATGGATCCGACCGTTCCTGTGCCTCTCTCGTTACGCAACGCACCGACAAAGCTGATGAAGGAGCTCGGGTACGCGCACGGCTATTGCTACAATCCCGACTACGCGTCAGTCTTTCCTGTTAGAAGGTGGATGCCACTGATGTGTGTGTCCCCCACTGCACAGGCACCCCGTTACGAATGACTATATGCCGGAGCAGTTTAGGGAAGAGGCGTTTCTCAAGTCTGCAGGTGATATCTCAGATAAGCTGTGGGACGAGGAGGCCCTTCGTCAATGGGAGTTAGAAGAAAACAAAGGCATATCTTGGGAGGGCAGGGCTGCAATATCTCAAACAAAGGCAAACAGTGATCCTAACAGTCCTTACGCACGAGGGCAGCGATCCTTCGAAGAATTCTAAACACCGTGCTTCCATTTACCACTACAAATACAATACATGTGTAACGGGAACACCAGAAACCTTATACATAATCATTCATGTCCACATGCGTTGACGACAGTTCCGTGCACCACACTGACATGGTATGTATACGGCATCGTGATATTTCGCAGGCTGGGCGATGTGACATTAGTAAACAAAGGCCAGGCACCAACTTAATTACGCACTGGTTCTTCCTCTTCCTCTTCATCACCGTCGGGCCTCCCAAAGTATGAGAAGCAAAGCTCTTCTCCTGGTGCGACATCGCGCAAGGTAAATATCGTCAGGAGAGGTTTATCTAAGTTTCCCTCGTCGATATAGCACGGATTGATGCTACAGTTTGGGTCACAGCTGTGATTCTGTGGGAGATTGTTAGTACGACATTGTAGCGTATGGGGCATCCACACGTACTAAATATCGAGTAAACTACAGAAAAGTTGACGTCAGCGATAATTTGGTAAAACAAGAGACGGCGTACGTTGCCCGCATGATAAGCATCAATAGTGAATTTGGGTGACCACTCTTCATCACCTCCTTTCAAATGCCAGAAATCAAGATCAAATAGATAAGTCCTGCCAAACTTGTTATATATGCTGAGAAACTAAAGTCAGTCCCAGCGAGTCGCACACTCTAATGGCAACCGCACCTTCCTCGCATTTCGGCCTCTGAATCTGTAATACATTCACCTGCATATACGCCGATGTACGTATTGGCCGGGATCTTCTTATCCCCAGCAAAGACACCTGGTCAATTACTGGTTAATGGCTCCCAGGCATCATCCTGAAATGTGAACGAACCCCAGCCTTTGTTAGGAGTTTTGCGGATGTTGATGGCGACCTCCCGGCCACGCTGGACTACCTGACGACGACGTGTGAGCAACCGAGCTATGCGGCAACGTGTAAGGCACATACTCTGTTTATACAATCGTCTGAGCACCTGCAATGGGAATTGCATTCGAAGATAGGGTATTCGTGCGTCCTTAGCCTTCGTCGCTCGTCGTAAATGAAACCCGTTATTCCGGTGTCTTCCAGGAATTGCCTCTGGCGCTTCATGCAGGCGCAAGTCTCAGAGTTCCGATCGCAGCGCCCGTTGCAGTCACAACCTTGCAGGTTCTCGAGGTCGGGTTTGGGGACGCCTTCCCCGTGCCACCTCTTATTCGAATAGTAAAATTCAAACGGAGGAGTCGACTCGTCATCGATATCGTTGATGATGCGGATTGGAGGTGCGTGCGGCTCGTCTTCGGCAGTGTTCTCAGTAATGATCGCTTCAAATATCAGGGCCTGCATGTTGCCGGCACGACGATGGTGCATGCCGAGTGCATTGATTCTATCCTGTAGATCATGAGGAATATCCTTAGACTTTGGATAGTACGCATCCATCTCTCTCCGCATCGCCGTATAATCATCAACCATGAGCTCCAATTCAGGGTCGACAGCGAGAGGAACAAAGCCAAAACGAGCCGCTTGTGGTCCGTGCTCTTCCGGAGTGATGATACGCGGACTGGAGTGTGAGAGCTCTTCTTGGCCAGGCGTCTTTGGGGGTGGTGCTGAATCGCCTGATGAGCTGCTTGAACGCCGTGGGGATGGGTGCGATCGTGACAACATTGTCGCATTATAAGCGGACGTGTGCGAACCCAAAACTCGCCGCTTAGGTGGCGAACTAAGATCAGTCTGGCCGTCAGACGGGATGTCCAGTAATGATACTATCTCTCGTTCTTCCTCCTCTTGTGACCAGGATCGGCGAGGCGAGTGTTCATGGAATGCCTGTGATGTGGGCAGTTCCCCAAAAGTAGCCGCACACGGATCGGGACGAGGTCTAGATAATCCCGGGTTAGACGTGCGTAGCGCCGATGTTTTGACACTGGCGGAGATATTTGTGAAAAGGTAGGACTTCCTTGAGGCTCTGCTAGCAAGACTCTCTGATTCCTCAGAGGAGCTCCTATGGCCGCTTTCTCCAATCGCGCCAAATGTAGAGATCACAGCCGACGCATACGACGGTGAAATGTGGACATCTGATACAAATAACACCCCAGATCAGCATTGACCACGAAATTATTTTTTCTTGTGAAGTGCTTACCCAACGCTGCATTTGTGGCCGATAACGGTGTGGTCCTATGGTCTTCTCGGGAGGGCTCTGACTTGATGACAAACAACGCATTGGGCTGAGAGACAAGCGCCGGTTCCTCATCGACGTCTGATGTGAGGTCAATCACCTTTTTCTGCGCCTTCTCATAGACTTCGTTGAGAATCTGTGCAAGAGATGATGAATGCAAAGTGGGCTCGTGAGGCGACATTGGCTTCGGCAGGCGACCAACACGCTGCAACAGAAAATGTGAGACTCAAGTGTAGACTCACACCGTCGTAGTTGACATACCGACACTGTAACTGGTGATGAGGCGCTCTTCTCCGCCTGTGGACCTGCGTGATTGCTATGGCTGGGAGCCGTTGCGCGTCGAGAGCGTGAGACATCCCTATACAAAACGTCCTTCCGCGATTTCTCCCATATGGACGCAGACTGATCACCTGTGGCGTCTGCCACGGGCCCAGCATCGTTTTGCGACATCACAGCACTCTCTGTTGTATCCATCGAGAAAAATTCGCTCTCCTCCCGTAGAGAAACTGAAGACGAGTCTACATTTCGGGGAAACTGCTCCTCAAAATCATGATTCCCACTGGTCTTTTTGCCACAAAACTTCGGAGATGACGCTTCAGTGTCTGGCATCGACAGGTCTTGCTCAGCGAGACTCATCGGAGATCTAAGGCTTCGCTCAGCACTTCCACTGCTTCGAGAGTGAACGTGAGACGTCGAGCGACTTTTAGCATGCAATTTGAAAACGTCTCTGAAGAATCCATTCGGCCCGCCGTACAGTGATCGAGATCCTTTCTTTACACGAGGTCGACCATAGGAAGCCTGCGACGTTACCGTCTGAGCGTTTTCTTCGATCGCATCGCTTGGTTCATTTTTGACCAAGGCGCCAGGATTTACATTTTCCTCTATTGCGGGCGTTAGGACGTCTCGCGATGCTGCTGCTGGACTAGGAGAGTCCGGCTGTGCGTCGGCGAAAGGTAGAGACGGGCCATCTGACTCTGGAGGCCCGAGAGGCTCGACAGAAGAGGCTTCGATTGAATCTGGAGGGAGCTCGATAGGTTCTTCGATAGGTTCTTCAACTGGTTCTGGAGATGCGACGTTGGAGCTGAGGAGTAGGGCAGGAGACCCAAATGATTGTTCGTGCATGGCATCCGGAGGAACTGACTGATAAGTGTCCTGTATCATAGCGTCCGCGGAATGCCTCGACATTGCAGGAGGGCTCGCGCCTAAGGGATCGAGCACATCGCCTGTATTCTCACCAGCGAGATTCTCGTCAGATGGTCCGATCTGTAGTTGGGAGCAGATGGACGACGCCAAGTTGGCATCTATGAGAAGACCGTCGTCGTCGTCATCAAACAGGACGATTGTACCATCCGGATCCTCCTTCCAACCGACGGCGGTTTTTGGCAGCGCTGACGGCGCATGACCCGAGGACACAGAGGGAGCAGAAGGCACTTGAATTGGCTTTAGACCGTCACTGTCTGTTATGTCAATGATGTCACCGGCAACGGTTAGTGGATGCTTCCGGGGCCGCTGTGCTACGAAAACGATGAGTTTATGTACTCCGATCGAAGAAAGAAACATACTAGAAACGGATTTGATGACTGCAGGTACATCGCTATCGGACGACAATACAATTGGATCTGCAGCAGTGCTTGAAATCCTGCAAGCTTGAGATGCTAAGTACAGTCAACGACACGCATATATCTAGTTATCTCAAGATCTTACCAGTAGGACGTGCATGTCCCACGCTGTGAGGAACCGAAGGTTGCACAAAGCCAAGCTTTCTCTTCTTCTTTTTTCTCTTGATCGGCAGACCTGTGAATGCATGCCATGATGAGAGCCCCCGACCAGGAAGTGTGCTGCATACCTTGCTCGCCTCCCTTCCGCACTACCACACCGTCGTCTGAACTATCTGCAGTTCGAGGGATGGGGATTGATGCCGAAGCATTGGCAGAACTAGCCGCCTGGTCTGCTTCAATTTCGCGAAGTAGGACAGAAGCATCGTTGGGTAAATCGTCCGAGGACGATGTCGAGGGGAGGACACTCCTTCGTCGCCTGCGTTGAAATTCGTCTATTGAGCTAAGGATGTTCTGCGCGTGACTGCTGCTGCTAGTGCCTGGCCCATTAATATCGAGTGCGGCCACACGAGCCGTGACCGGCTGGGTTGCAGAAATTGAACGGGGGAGAGGGAGACGCGAGGGCTCCACACCGGGCGGTGGCAAGACTGCACGTGTGTCAGGCTGTCGCGAAGAAGGTGGGCGACCGACAGGCGCACTCGCTGAAGCCGGCTGAGTCGCAGCAGGTGGCCGAGATATCTGAAACCTATTCGCCTTGCGCGAACGTACCGGTGACTTGAACGCGCTCCGTGGAGGGCTGGGGGTTCGTAGCGGTTCGACCAACAGCGTCACTGGTTTTTTCCTGGGCGGCTTTTTGCGTGCCACTTGTATCTGAACGACGGGACTGGCGAGTGGAGAAGCTTCCTGGTGCTGTTGTGGTTGAAAGAGGGAAGTAGACGGCCCTGCAGCACTCGCTGAACTGGGGACTGCGATGCCTACGTTAGGACACAACCCCCAAATGAAAGGTCTGCCTCGCACCTGCGCCTGCGTTCGAGCCACCAAAGGCTACGCCGTCCTGCTTTCCATGTTCATGGCTGAGCCTCGCTTTCTTCACATACAGCGACCTTCCAACCCCTACATCTCTGTTGCCCGCTCGGTCTTGCTCTGACGAGCTAGGTTTCCTCTTCCTCGGCATGAGGGGGGGTGATGGTTCAATCTCGTCTCGCATGTCTTGAGAGCTCATGCGCGAATCATCCTCCGAGGTTGAAGTCGCGGGATCTGAAGAATTGGCAGACGAGTAGTGATGAGCCTCGAGCGTCAAAAGCCGAGCGAACGCACCATTGGGCAAGATCGTCCATGCAGGGGCCGATTGGCCGGGAGGCGCCATTATCGAATCGTGGTTTCAAATGCACCGCGAGTTTAACACGATATCCTAGGGTTGCCGATGACTACGCATATAATAAGTGCACTATGTCTGTGAAGACGTTAATGAGTCCTCTGAGCATACTCGAGTATAGTCAACCGACCCGTGTATAGACGCCGCATGATGGCGCGGCCCCGACCTGCCATATTAGTAAGCCAGCCACAGTCCAGTGAGACATGTTGCTCAAAGATGTAGCTTGCCGTACAGCAGCTATCGTCAGCTTACAGTTGCATGTATACGAAGTATCCAGTCATATTTCACAGAGGATAGCCTCATCCCACCGTATAGTATACGAAGAACGGGCGTCTTACGAAGGTGGTCTCGAGTAGCCTCGAGTCTGATCCGTGTGGTCGATCAGTCGATCATGTCGAGGAGAGCCTGCAACACTAAGGGACACCCCACTATAGTGTAAACAAGCCAGAAAATATGAGGTATACAGTTTACTGATGATGATGGATACAGGTCGAGAGATGTTGGCACTAAGATAATTTTAGACGACAGATCTGGCTACAGGTCGAAAGCGAAGCAATTCAAATCCACGGGTGCATACGATGGAGATGCGGAGAATGTGCATCAAAGAAGAAGATGCGGGGAGTAGCAGAACGGTCGACGTTTGTATCCCGAAGTGTACGGATCACGAGCGCAACTCGAACGTCGCGAATGCAAGGTCGTACCCGCCAAATTCGTAGTTGATTTTGTCCGTTCGCTTGTACACACCGCTGAAACCGTCCGTACGCGCGGGCTCAGCGCTCGCTGATACACCGAGCTTCCCGCGAGGCATAGTCAGTGCGGTTTTGAACGCGCGCTGCGCCGCCTCTACCGCGCTCTCGCCGTCCTCCTCGGCGTTGTTGTTGCCTTCGCTCGAGACGAAGAGCGTCAGCGTCAGCCTGCCTGGTTGGAAGATGTTGACGACCCGTCGGATAAGCGTCTTGAGGTCAGGAATGTGTTTTGCCTGTTCAGAGGGACGCGTGGGCAGGGGGACGTTGCACTCGAAGCTGGCGTACGACCATCCGCTTTCTGGTGTGACATGGATAGTGTAATATCCCTCGCCATTCCGGGCGGGATTGGTCCCTGCATCATCTCGCCATTTAAGAAGCGCGTTTGAGGAATAGCCGCATGGCTGGAAGGAATAGGCGTCGAGAGTCGTCAAGTGGGATGGGAACAATTCGTTGATGCCAATTTCTTGCGACAGCGCGAGCGCATGACTGGTGGGCTCCAGCTCTTCCGCCTCAGGAATATGATCGCTTGTCATGAAGTGTGAACATGCTGATGGTGAGAGTTGAGTCATTAGGATTTCAATAGTATAGTCGTGTGAGAGTTCGTCGGTCAGATCAACTGCTGGTGGGTCGTCGAGACCTGGCGTGTCAGCCTCCTCGTCGACGCCATTGATCGCTCGTTCAGAAGGAGTGTTCGGCCTTGTCCCTCCGTCGGCATTTTCTTCACCTGGAGTGGTGATGTACAGCAGCCAGTGGTCGCCATTGACCTTGCCAATAGTGTACGCCGCACCTCCTGGGAAGATGCGGTCTAGAAAATCAATCTCCTCCCTCCAATCTCTGTGCGGACCAAGTTGCCGTTCTGGGAACATGAAAGCTTTCCGAGAATAGAAGAGGCGATAGACGGTCGGCAAAGATGCATGATCCCTCGCGATCTCCAGGATACGGGGCACGCCGAGCAGATTGAGCGTTGTCCCACACGTTTTTAGTATAAGGCGGTGTGGTGAAACAAACAGAGAGGACTCGCTTGATAGTCATGAGTGTTTGGTAAGACGGCCTGGTATGGATGGCGGCGACTAACCTCAACAGGTACGCATCCGTCTCCGTGCCTTGTATGACTGAGAGTATCTTGCATTTAACTATGTCCAGCATGTCCTCCCAGACCTCGCGTGGCACTCGCCTGAGGCCATCGCGGTGTCCGGAGGAACCGGGAATGTCTGCGGGGGAAGGCGCAAACCAGATTTCGAGTAACTTTTCCGGTCCTTCAAAAGGTCCTGTAGGCTGCGGCTCTGCGCCTTCCATTCGGTTCAGGAGATGACCAAGAGGGGGCGCTATGGAGGGGGAGAGAGGACGAGGACGGAGAGGGCGCGTGAGGGATGCATGTACCGTGGACGGAGGAGATTGAGCAGAACCTGCGCAAAAGTCTGCGAGTGATCGAGCGTGATCGATGGCAGGGACCACTGGCCGTTGCCGCGTCGCCGAGATCATGACGCGCGGATTCGGCTTTGCGCTCGTCCTCGAGAGTACAAAACTCAACGTCGGCGACGTCCTGCTCACTACTCACAATCCATGGTCCGCAATCTCATCCTCCGCTTTCCTCTCTTCCGGGCATTTCTCCCCCGTATCACCCAGCCCATCCTCCCCCTCACGGCTCGCTTCGCCGCTGCTCCCTCCATCCCCGGCACGTCCAGACCACGGCTCTTTCACCACATTCCTGCTCGCCTCACCTCCAATGCCCCACGCTCGCCCTCACCCGACGAGCCCCAGTCGTCGCGCCTCCCCCCGGACGCGTCCATGTCCCAGCGGCTCAAGCACCTCATCAAAACCTACGGCTGGTATGCTCTCGGCGTGTACATCGTCCTATCCACTGCCGACTTCACGGTCGCATTCGCCGGAATAAACCTCATCGGCGCAGAACACGTCTCGCACTTTACTGCTGTCGTCAAGGACTACGTAGTAGGCCTCATTCACTCCAGGCCGCCAGAACCCGGCAGAGAGGAGATGGAGAGCATGTCCTCGCATGCGAGCAGCGGAGGGCAGGAGGGCCTCTATGCCATGCTTGTCCTTGCCTACACTGTGCACAAAACGCTGTTCCTTCCCGTCAGGGTCGGTCTCACTGCCACACTAACGCCCAGACTCGTGCGCTGGCTGGAAGCGCGGGGTTGGGCAGGTGGGGCAGGCACGAAGCGTGCTGCTCGCGAAATGCGGGATCGGATGAGAAGAGACAAGGAGTGAGGCGTTTGGGTTTCTATGGGACTTCGCAGATGTTGTCTTGACATACCGGTGAGTCGGGCTACAGCGCAGATCCTTCTCAATCCATAACCAGGTGTTTGATTACACAGTACAGCATCCGTCATGGCTAATACACTAATAAAACTTGGACACCGCTTCATTATAAATGTCCAGAGGCGAAATGCAAACGACAACTCATGCGGGCGGAATTTCGGATTCTGAAAGCGGATGAATGCGCCGGTAAAATATGTCCATAATATGCACGGACCTTTGAGAATGCCTTCTTTCACGAGTTCCTCGGGCCTGGGACGTTGTTGCAGGGCGTGTTCCAGCTTGTCCTACAACAAGGTGAGCCGCCTATATGCGCTTTTATGCCGCGGTAAATATCACCTCGAGCTGGGACCTCTGCAGTTTCTCCTTAGCAGCTTGAAGTGAGGGTGCGACGTGATCATCTTGAGAGCACGTTAGCCCTATACAAGCGAGACCTGCACATGTATACCTTTAAGAATGTTGCGCTCCACGAGATCATGCTTCTCTGGACGCTGGTTCAGGTGTTTCTCGAGCTTCTCTGCAGTCTGGGGGTCAATGGAGGGCTTGCGCGCCGGCACGGCGGGACGAGCAGTCTCTGTAGAGGCTGATGTATTGCCGTTCCAAAACTCAGTGAGAACGCCGGGCTATGACACTAGAGAAAGACACGCATACCCATGTGTAGGAGTGATTCTCTTAGAGGTGCCTTGGGGTATGGAGTGGTAAGAGTTAGGGGCCGCAGATGGGTGAGAGGCTCCCATATATACCGTTTTGGAGCAATGCTTATGATGAGCTCCTCCAGTCAGAATCCGCCTTCGAGACAGGTCCTATGACAATGATCTAGTTCATATCCGGAGTCGTAACACGCGCCCAGAGCACGCTAGTATGTTCTCGCCTTACATGCATATCGATGTGTTCATAGACGCTTCGGGCGTGTTTTGCAAACCAACGAGCATGACGCGTGCGCATGCAGCGCGACTCAGGAGAAACAGCCTGTTTCAGGCAAGCAAATAGTACGCTCGCTGCACTAGTAGACAACGCGAGCGTCGCACATGAAATACATGCAGCACACGCATGGACCAGACAATCTCAAGTCCGCACCCGGAAGTCGACCTCGACCCCTCCCGTGTCCGTCGCCTCGGGCACCTCTCGCGCCTTGTGCTGCTCGCTGCGCACTCTTCGCTCTTCGCGGTAGTCTCCCAATAGTAGCCGTGCCTCCTTGATGCTCTCCTTTACCCGCTTGACCTCGTGGGCGACGTCCTTGTCCATGTCCTCTAGTAGATTGAGCAAAGCAATGATCTGATGTGGTGGAATTGAGGAAGAAGGAAGGGCGGGCAGAGGCTTCGCGGGAAGACGGGGTGGACATGTGCCCTTGCGCTTGTGTTGTCGCTTGTTCTTTGACTGTGAACTATGCGACGTTGCGGGTGCGTCGTTCATGCATGGGGTTAAAACGATTGTGGGCGAGACACTCTCCAGGAAAGGGGAGAGCGACAGATCGAGAGGCAGGCAGGGCGCACGAGAGAGACGAGACGATACCATGGCAGGCAGAGGATGCGCTGGAAGATTAGAAGGCTTAAGTTACTACTGGAACAGACACTCCGAGAGGGAAATTTATTGGATGCAGGCGGAGGCTGACGGTGTGAAGAAACGCATTCTGATCTGGCCTAGGGTGTGTGGGCTCAGCTTCTTGGCATAGCTACGAGGCCGTCGCCATGAGAGGCGGCGTAAATGTTGACTAAAGCGCAAAATGACGGTCGCCGAGACTCAGCGGGTGAGTGAGAGTATGCAGTCGGTGGCCGTGCGGGAGACAAGTAAGTAGTAGTGGACAAGTGCCAATTGAGGCCTGCCCAAGTAAGCGAGCGCGTAGGCCACGTGGTATCGGACCCCACCTCGATCTTGCCGCCAACAACAGCGGAGACATCATCTACACACTCGACATGCTGGCTCGCAGAGCGGCTGCTGGCCTTGCACGGCCCAGACTGGTCACCGCACCCGTTCTCCGCCGCAGACTGGCGTCCACGCACTCGCACGACGAGCATCATCACGAGGAGCACCACGGCGAGCCCCAGGATGCCGTCGCGTACCCGAAGGAGGGTGAGCACCACGCACGCTTCGTAGCCCGCTCTCGCACCCAATGATCGTAAATAATGTACTCCAGACTTCTCGTCCCCCATCTGGCGCAGATTCGCGCTCGTCGGCCTCGTCGCAGTCGGCTTCTACAAGTTTGCGCCTTCTCCCGACGATGACAACTACGTTTCGCGCTTGATCGCCCATTACGCGACGCCGCAGGAGGTCTGGCAGAGGCTGACTCTGCAGCATTTGCTGTTGGCAGTGCAGGTATCGGACGACTCTTTGCTAGTCGCAGACGCGCAGAGAGCACCCGTCCACCGCTATCGGTACCCTCAGTGCGTTATCCTATTTTCTGAGCGTTTTCCCTTCTGCTCACGGATACTATCCCCGTAGGAAGCTGGAAATGGCTTCTGCTCATTTGCAGCCTGTTGGAATGCGGGTCGATTTCAGCGGCGTCGTAGCCAAACGAGATTGAGCAGCCTGTAGTGCAGACTGCGCCTCAAATGTGCAATCAAGTATCACTCTTTGCGTTCATTATCATATCTGTAAATCAGATTTACTTGTGGGAATAAGCTGGGATGCACAAGATCCACTGCTAGTCTGCTACCGTCTCTGACTTGACACATTGACGACGTGCTTAGAGGTTCGTATGCGATCTGTGTGCTGATCATATCGAGACTACAGTTTCGCCTTTGCGCGTTGACGCTTAAACTCCTCGACCTCCTCCACCGATGCCAGGACGAAGCCGAATGACCATACCCATACCCGACCTCTCGTGACCTCTCGGTTTTTGAACCCCATCGCCTCCCAGCGTTTGGGGTCGCGCTCCTCAACAACCTGACAGATAAGCGACTTCCTTGTCGCGAAAACAGGGTCCGTGCCAAGGAACGGAGAATGCGACGGATACAGTGCGGTGGTGAGACTGTAGACGTCATCGTCAGGTTCTGCTCACACGCAGCGCCAACAGCTCTTACTCATCGTATCCTGGCGCATTTAGCATGAAGTGAATGTGCGCAGCCCGATGTGGGTGTCGACCTAAGACAGCCGTGGTGTTTTATAAGCCTTTGGCCCGCAAACGTCTTGTAAACACTCACCGAGTGTACGCAAGAGGTCACCGCCAGGACCATCACTTGGCTGTCCAGAATTTGTGAGATAATACTTCACGTCCGGACAGTAACTCACAATCGGGTAGGCTGTCGGCAGAATGCCGCGGTAACAGAAAGTGCCGTCGTCCTCCGCGACTATCTTGCCACGGTCGTTGGCCTCCGTAGTGCCGGGGTACTGCACATCGTAGATGCCATCACCGTCTGCCTGCCACTGTGGACGTAGTCGAATCAGTTCCACCTTCTCTCCCCTGGGCTGGTAAGGGACGCACGACATCGATCTTAGCGCCTCTGATTCCTTGACCCTTCGTATTCTTCACAGTACCGTTGAAAAACATTGCCTCCCCTGTAGTACCGACTTTCGCAAGCGAGGCTCCTGACGGCACCTCTGGCGCATTCGGCACGTAGAAAGGTCCGGCCTCGCAACTGTCAGTACAACCCTGCCGAAATGACAACGTGTGAATACGCTTAAGTTCAGTTAAAACGAGTGCAACCCTTACCGCTGGCTTGGGGTGCGTCAGCTCGTCCACCAGCGCGCTCAAGCCCATGATGTCGCTGAGGAGGATGAATTCGTTCTTGTAATCCGTGCTCTCCTTGCCGGCGCGCGTCAAGAACTCGACAACCTTCGTCCATTCCGCGTGGTCTAGCGAAGTCTCGCGGGCGAAGGTGTGGAGGTGGGAAACAAGCGCATTGATGAGCTGCAGCTTGCGTGGGTCTTTGACTAAACTCTCATGCAGAGCGAGGACACTGGCCAGGACGCGTTAGCTATCATGGTCGTGCCATTGGTCGGCGCGCGACGTACTGATCAGTGATGGTGTAGTCTGTGCTTTCACGGAAGTCCCGCTCGAGGGGTAGGTCCTGCGGTATCTCTTGCTCGAGCTGGGCGCGGATTGCCACGCCGACGCGCAAGGGGTCCTTCATCTGCTTCTCGGACGCCATTGTGAGTGTTTGTTGCGGACAGCAGCTGGTGGGTATAGGTGCCTTTATAGCATTGTGAGATGGCCGTTCCGTATATTGGAATGCCGGTCACGTTGGAGATGGTATGGGGAGCCAAAATTGGACAAGAGAAGTTCATGTGTGGGGGGCTCCAGACAGCCGGGCTGCTTGTACAGATTTGCCCTGGTGTGCACTCGGCGCAGTCTCGCCGGGGCCCCCTTCGCGCCGCTGCTCACCAATGACTTTGTCAAATGCTGGTCCCATGAGCAGGCTTCTCCTGACGCAGTGATGGGTGCGTCAGTAAGCAGTCTACCGACTGATCCACTTGCATGTCCGCGAGAACGTAACCGCAACGACCCTTACGGGACTTGGAACACGCCATGAGACTAGGCGGCTTGTTCCCCGTCCGGGGGACTCGCGAACGCGCTGAGGACGCGGTGATCACGTGTGATGGGCTAGGATGCTGACATAAGCAAGTTGGACGTCGCGTTGTTGTGTTGCGGGACGAGCGAGGCAATAACCACGCGTGCTGTGGGCGTCCATTCCTTCTTCAGAGTACCAACTCTCTAGTCTCTCCTTCCCCCCCCTAGCCGACCTCGGCGCAGTATACCCCTCTTCACACCGGTCCTGTTTATGCAGCTCTCTCATGGCACCCAAACTCACGCGTGGATTCTTCTACGTCTGTATCTCGTCCGCGCTCATCCTCTCTCGTCATGTCGCGTTTGCTAGCCTGCCTCTGGTCGACTTTGACCGCATGGGCACCGTCGGTCTCACCGGCGCGTTCGCAGGCATAGGATTGTCCGACAACTCCACGATTACTACGACATTCGACTCTTCTGAGGCGACTCTCTTGTCCCGTTCCTCTGATGGTTCTCTCTCGGCTCTCGGTTCCACAAACTCTGGCGGAAGCATAGCAGCAGGATGTGCTCTTGGCGACGTCTTCTACTTTGGCGGCTCCTTCACGTCTATTGGCAAGACCTCAGCGAACAGCCTCGCGTCGTACACGCCGTCGTCAGGGTCTTTCTCCGCCCTAGGTTCTAACGGACCGAACGGAGATGTGTACGCACTCTACTGCGACGAGAAAAACAACAACGTCTGGGTCGGCGGCAAGTTCACCTCTCCCGCACCTTCCGTCGCAGTTTGGTCAGTGAAGAATTCGCAATGGTCCGCACCGCCATTCGGAGGGTTGTCAGGCGCTGCAGCGGAGGTGTTCTCCATCACCACCAATTCGTCCGATTCGAGCATCTTCTTTGCGGGATCATTCACGACGTCTTTCGGTAACGGCACGCTAAATGGGACCAATAACCCGAACGTACCGTATTCGGCGGGCGCTACGCCTTTCTCGTCGTCGTTAGTTCCCGTCCCATTGCAAAATGCACAAGTGATCGCCGCGCCATCATCTACCGAATCGGGCTTCAGCGACGTTGAAAACATATTGTGCCCGTCCGGTGCTGACGGTCCCGGCGACACCTGGTTTGCGCAAGACGGAAGTGCTGCAGTGATCACAGTTCGTGCATATTCGCTCCTCAGCGCAAGAGGTATTCGCATCGGGAACACTTTCTTGGATGGCAGGGGGACCACAGCCTTCAGGTACGTTATCGCCCGTGACAATGGTTGAGTCACGCTCATCTATGCCCAGTGTCACCACTATACCGGACAACACGGTGCAGACACTAACATATGTCAACCCGCAAACCGGCGCCAACGAGACGTGCAACGACCCTTGCCCTCTCTTGACGGATTCGTCAACCCTGTACCAGGACTTCCTATTTAGCGACAATCTAGACATCACTGGATTCCAACTCACGTTGTCAGAATGGCAAGGAGCGGGATCTGGGCTGCATCTCCTGCAGCTACTTTCCTCAGGAGCCTTCGCATCTGCCGTAGCGGCCAATAACACGGCGTCGTGCTTCTCCCCGGGCGCGTCTAATGTGTCGTTCACCGGCGACTGGACTGAGAAGGAGGCCAACACCAATATCCCCGCGACGGTTGAGAGTGTCCTTGTCGCCGATGTCGCCGTAGGAACGAGTGTGGCACAAAGCCCAAGCATCACCTGGATGCCGTATGTATCCGCGTCTGGAGAATACGACGTATACCTGGTCGTACCAGGATGCACCAACTTCGAGGATTGTGCACTGCGCACAAGCGTGCAGGTCACTGTCTTCCCCGGGGATGGACTGTCCCCGTGGGTGACCACTGTCTCGCAGCAGAATGGTGAAGACCAGACGACGCTGGTGTATACTGGCCCCATCGTTCCCTCATCGCCGAGCTTCGTGACGACTATCTCGATGACGCTGGCGCCAGAGCCAGTGGGCCGCGGCGAGAATGGCCAATACGAGCTTGTTGCTGCGGGCGTTCAGCTCCAGCTGACGAGTGCCAATGTCACCACGACCGGTAGCAACGGAGCAAACGGTACCAGCGCAGGCTCTGCGAGTGGCTTCGGCTTCTTCGAGTGGCCGCTGTCATCGACCGACACTGTCAATGCCACAGGAATCCTGACCAACAAGACGGAGACAGCCCTGGACAGCGTGGGCTTCGACATACTGGCAGGCCTTGGCGGTAGCGCAGCCCTTACATCGTCCTCACTCCCATATATCTCTGCCGTCGCGCATCATCCGTCTGGTACAATCTTCCTTGGGGGAAACTTCAACTTGACGTCGGGCAGTGCGTCCGGCGCCTCCAACATTGTCGCATTCAAGAACGGTGCGCTCGCGGCTTTGCCTTCGAAAGGCTTGAACGGAGTGGTAACATCGTTGGCACTGGACGGCGATACCCTGTTCGTCGGAGGCGCATTCAGTGATACGTCCTCGGCCTCAACAAATGGCGCCCTGCAGGGTGTAGCGGCGTACAATGTTCAGCAGAATTCGTGGAGCGCTCTCGGACAGGGCGTTAACGGCGCTGTATCCAGTGTCGACTACTCAGACGGCCAGGTTCTTATCGCCGGCAACTTCACGCAGGCTGTCGCCGCATCCGGGACCGTCCAGAAAGCGGATGGATTCGCTGCGTGGAACGTAGGCAACTCGACCTGGACCAACAGTGGAGGATTCCTGGTGGGAAGCATGACGCTCGTGGTAAACGGCACATCGAGCAGCGGCCAGAGTCAATACGTCGCGGGATCGGTTGGTGCGTCTCTCGAGTTCGGTGCCACAGGTTTCGTGTTGCTTCAGAACGGCGCCGGGGGCGAGCCGCAGGTCACTCCGTTAGACGTGCAGTTGGGCGGCAACACGACCGTCTCCACCTCTTCTACCAGCGCACGCCGTCGGTCGCACGTACGCCGCGGGGCCTCATCGTGGATTCCCAAGATCAACGCCTTGCGTATCTTCAAGAGAGAAGCTTCAGCGTCCCTTGCGCCACTACCGTCCAGTCCCGCTACGACTGCTCCAGCCGTCTTGGCCGGTGCTTTCTGGACGAACAGCTCGTCCTCGAAGCAGGTGGCGATTCTCGGTGGCAATTTTTCCTTCCAGTCGTCCTCTGGGTCCACGTACCGCAGCGTTGCGATTTACGACAATTCGACCGGTGCCGTTACGCCCTTGCAAGGCAACCAGATCAACGGCACCGTGCGCAGCCTACTGGTCCAGGGTGATAACCTGTTTATCGGGGGTGAATTCACCCTCCAGGGAGCGAGTGCGAATGGCTTCGCCATCTACAACCTAGCCGAGCAGGAATGGGCCATGGCCGGCGTACAGGCCTTGCAGCCCAGCTCAGGGTCCAGCGTCGTGGTCCGTTCAGTCACAGCATCTCCGTCCCAAACCAACACGGTGATAGTCGCTGGCACGTTCGCTTCGGCAGGTTCAACAGCCTGTCGTTCCATCTGTTCATATGCCTCCGACTCCGAACAGTGGAGTGCCCTTGGCAATGGTATACAAGGCGACGTTGCATCCATTGCATACGCTGGCGTACGTAGTCTTATCTCTCTGCAATCCGGGAGGGTGTTGATGTTGTCATTGCACAGAGTAACTCGGACGTGATTGTGGCGGCAGGGTCCCTTGCTCTCGCAGATAGCGCTCTTGCCAATGTCGCGACTTTTACTATCTCAAACTTGACATGGGCAGCCCTTGGCAACGGCAGTCTGCCTGGCCCGGTCACCGCGGTTGCCGTCAATGACGGTAATGTTAGCAGTGTGTTCGCTGCCGGCAGGTAAATGGTGTAGTCAGTTGTGCTGTCTTGGAGCTGACATTCGAGTCTAGGTCATCCGATGGCAATACTGCGTTCCTGTACTTTTGGAACGGACAAACGTGGTCTGCAGTCGGTACGTGAAATGCCCATCGGTACCAGTCTAGTAACTGAATCGTCGACAGGTTCAACGCTGGAGTCTACGACGGACGTATCGCAATTGACAATGGTCCCGCTGCAAAATACTCATACCGGCAACAGCATTATTCAGTCCGATCGTGCACTGATGGTATCGGGGTATCTCACCGACTCCTCGTTCGGAAATGCGTCGTCCGCTTTGTTTGACGGGCAGTCTTTCATTCCATACATAGTCTCAGCATCTGCGTCCGGTTCGCCTGGGACCGTGTCTGGGCTGATCTACTCCTATTCTACGTTCAGCTTCACCCAAGCCCGTAAGTATCCCTTATGCCATGTCATCGTTGTTGCTGACACTCCCTTGAATGTAGACTTCCTTGCGACAGGCGTAGTCATCCTGATTTCCATTGCAATCGCCGCAGGCATTGTGTTCCTGCTTGCCCTTATTGGCATCCTGTGGACGCTCTTCTCCCGCCGGGATGACAAGCTCAACAAGTTTGACCCAGTGGAAGTCGATGACGATGATGACTCCGCACATCACCCGTCATCCCTCCTTGCCCACATCAACGCTGCAACTCGCAATACGATTATTGGAGACTCAGGTCCCTTCGGTCCTCATGTCGACAAAGAAGGCGAAGGCGTGATTGGTACGGCGGGGGGTTTCGAGCCCGACGCGAGCAACTATGTTCGAGCCGAAACACCTTCAGATGCCGTCATTGGTACGATGGGTGGTGAGGATATGACTAGACCGGCTTACGCTCGCTATTCGTTCGATGGCGAAGGCGAGGGTGAGCTCGCATTGAATGCCGGGCAAGAGGTAGAAATTCTTGATGACAACGATGCTGCGTACGTGTATCCATGTTTTCAGCTGTGTGGGATTTTCTGACATATCATGGCTACAGATGGTGGTACGCGAGAGACGTGCGCACCGGACGAGAAGGAGTTGTACCAGCTGCCTACGTGTACTGATCGTGACTAGTATATTGGATTTGACTTTTTTGCACTCAAGGATTGTCGTTGCTGTCGTCGTATTTGTTTTGATACCCTTGTGTTGGACTGCGGTCTATTGTCTTATTTTTCCATAGAGTCCTTCTCGTAATCGCCGCATCTAGCATGCGCTTACATACAGTACGTTTCTACATTTGACACTCCAGAAGTAGTACGGGTACCACTCATGCATCCCCAGATCAAGTATCCCATGTTTACTGTCAGACAAAAGAATGAGTATATGCAGCATCCACTTCGATTATGGTACACACCTGGAGCAGCGGATCTCTGAAATGCTTCTGACTGTTGTGAATGAGGCCGACTTTGGTCTTGAAGTCTTCTCGTCGGCGCTGGTCCCTGAACTCGCGGACGTGCCGGCCGGCTTCCCGTGCTTCACCGCGATTCCTGGCCTTGACGACCTCTGTCCCTGCGCCAAACGCGCCGAAGCCACCTCCACGAGGAACAAGCGCAGAGTTTTTGTCGCCCAGGAGTTTGCGAACGAGTGCGGCGCCCGAGTTCGGATCTTCTTGTTTGCCGCCTCTTGGTGCTCGCACGAGTGATTGTGCGTAGTATCGGCGCATGCTTCGATGGCCTATCCGTGCACCGGAGGGGAGGACGAGCTCGTAATGGGAGTCGCCGTACGTGATCTGATTGTCGAGCAGCTCTTCGGCGTCGCTGTCCGACGCATCCTCGTCCTTGTCGACGACCTCATCGGCCTCTGCGTCTTCGTCATCGGTGTCCTCCCACTCCTCGTCGGAACCGCCCGAAGCGCTCTTGACCTTCTTCCGACGCTGGTGCGCGTCAGGGTACGACGCCGTGAAGTCATAGTAGTCGGATACCTCGAGGCGGTCCTCTTCCGCGTCATATGCGATCTTGCAATGGCCTTTGTCGAGCATGTGCTTGCGCACGGCATCGAGTGTGCGGAACTCGCGCCCGCGGCCGTTGCAGTAGATGCAAACGTTGCCGACGGCGATCTTCTCACCAAGGTACGTGACGAGGCCGGGGAGGTCGACGAGGAAATCGGCGTCGGGGATGAAGAACGTGTGTGCGACGGACATGTGCGTGAGGTTGTCCTCGAGCGAGGCGGATGCCTCGGAGCAGAAGAGACATTGTGTCGGTGCGAGGCGGGCACGCGCGGCAGCGATCTTCTCGTCAATGGTCTGGTTAATCTGCTCTTCTGTAGCCTCAGGGTCGACGATCAGAGCTGCGCCAGAGGGCAGGGAGGAAGTCAATGCAGGCTGTTCCACCGCCTCATCCTGCGCCACTGGAATGGACGTAGACGGCTCCTCAGGCGCAGCGTCTTGCGTCGGCTGCACCTTCGGCCTCAATGACGCCTTGAGCTCGTTCTCCTTGTGTTTGCGCGAGACTAAATGCGCCCTGTAGGCATTTTCGGTCGTGTAGGTTTTGCTGTGAAGAGAGGTTGGGATGTGAAGATGAGATCAGAGGCAAGTGAGACAGAGGCTTACCTGCAGACCTCACAGGCTGAACCCTTGGGCGAAGCCATGATGGCGGTCTGAGCTCTTCTCTCGAGGACCTTCTGGTCAAACAGAGCGGCACTGAGGGGTGGAAGGCCAGCAACCCGACGCTTCATGTTGTACCTGTGATGGTCGGACTTGTAGTGTTCTCCTGTGTAATGCATGAGTAAATCCGCGAGGATGGCGAGGTACTGAAAAGGCGTACGCTGGTCCTCGGCGGAGAGAAAAGCGATGCTGCACGACAGGCAGGTAAAAAGGGAGCCATTGTCGTTGCTTTGCTCAGCGGACATGCTTGAGGCAGATTTGAAAGTATGCTGATGCTGCTGTATGCAAGAACAAGCTGTAAGAAATAGGAGGAGTAGGCGGTGAGTGGTATTTGAGAGAACCAGACCAAGTCAACGCTCTTGCGGTAGCGGCATCTCAGATCGATCAGTCAGCATCGGGCTTGGATCTGGCCATCATTTTATTATACATCGTATTGTAAGCGTCGGCTACAGTCTGCGCGTCATGCAAACGATTACAGAAATTGACATCGACATCATTCTATTAATGCAGACAAATCGAGTATCGTGAGGCTGCCACTGGCCGTTCCTGCCGCGTAAGTGGTACCATGACTTGCACTCACATCAACTTGTATCCATCCGCGATTACGTCTTTTTGCTTCAGGTAACCAACACAACTTCTTGCCAGATTTCTTGACATAAATCCATCCATTCTCCTCTTCAAACCCTTCATCAGGATCCTGGTCGTCCTCAGGATTCCCTGCCACATTCAATATCTCGCCTGTGGTGCAATTGAGCAATGTGATGGGAGCAGTGCGTCCGGCGTTTGCGTAAAGCTGGAGACCATCAACGGTGAACCTCAATCCGTCTACCTTGGAGGCGGTCTCAACTTTTCTCTGTAAGTTTCCGTCAGAGGCGCTCCAAAGACAGACACCATGTGCACCTCCGACTGCGATCATCATCCCGTCGGAAGAATATGCTATACATCCAATGTCATCGGGGTGCCTCAGCTCCAAGCATGCGACACCTGTGTCCAAATCCCAGATATAGACGTTAGGATTGTGAGAGTCGCGTCTATTGGCGGAAGCGAGGCGGCTGTTGTCACTGGGTGAGAATAACAGAATAACGAACATCGCGAGTGTTTTCTTGTGCACAAATTTCTGGAGCTGTTTTCCATCGCTTGTGTCCCAGATTGCAATGACTCCGTCAGCACAGCACGAGGCGATTCGGGTTCCATCCGACGAAAATACGACACATCTAACCTCGGAATTGTGCCCAACTCTGGACGATATGCCTTGGGTAGTGACTTGTAAGTCCCACGTCCGAATTGTATGGTCATCCGATCCCGAGACAAGGCGAGTACTGTTGTGCGTGAACGAGACTGATTGGACAGTGTTGGTATGGTCGCGTAAGACAGCTAGTGTCTCCCCAGTGCGGTAATCCCACAGGCGGATAGTCTTGTCCCATGAGCTAGAAGCAATATAGTCACCCCCAGGAGAAGCAGCGACACCGTGGACGCTATCGGTATGACCCGTCAAGATTTTGTAACAAGATGAATTCCCAACATCCCAGATGCGGACACTGGCATCATGCGAGCCAGATGCCAAGTACTTTGCGCCCTGGAAGAAGACTACCGAGGTCACAGCTTCCTCATGCCCCTCAAAATCGCTGGGGGATGCAAGAACATGACCTTCTACGCGACGAATTCGAACCAGATTATCTGACATTCCAAGAGCGAGTAGATTGCCTTCTTGCGAGAAGGCTATCGAGTCGATTTCGGGTCCCATGATGATTGAGAACAGACAGTCTCCACTCCTCGCATCCCACACCGCAAGTACACCTTGAGCCTCTAGCTTCGTGTCTTCGCGGCTACTGTGCGAGCTTGGATTCGTAGTTGAATCTAAGTGAAGGTCCTCATTGTCGAGTCGTCCTTGTGGGCTGTGTACACTTTCCGTATCAGCAGACTGTCCTTGCCGCCGGGACCGCTTCGCGGACGATGCTGATATGATAAATCGGCTGTTGGGGGAGTACGTAACTGCCCGGACTTCACCCAGCGCAAGGCCAGTCGACGGCGGCAGAGATTGCAAAGTGCGGATGAGTGCACCTGTGGCCACATTCCAGATGCAGATGATGCCCTCAGAGCCAGATACGATATAGTGCTGATCGGGCGAAACATCGACGGCGTGCACGGCATGATCATGCTCCATAGCAAGCAGTGAGGTACCAGTGTTCGGATCCCAAGTGCGCACCCAACCATCTTCGGAGCCGGATACTATCCAGCCCTCCGAGCTCGACGCCTTCACCGAATTGACCCAGTCTGTATGTCCTTCGATGACACGAAGACAAGCCTGCCACTGGCGGTCCCGCTGAGAAACCACTTTGACTGATCGGTCACTTTTATTGCGCTGGGGATTGGATGTGTATGTATCAAGGAGTTTGCAGGAAGGCATTTGTGGTATGGCGGATATGTAAATCTGTCCAGGGCTGAGCTCGATAGCGGCGAAGTATTCAAGTGTGAAGCGGTAGCCGTCATTCAGCAGTTCAGCCAGAGCGAAATCATCATGGTTCTACCCTGATCGTGAGTTGTGATTACGGAAAGTTGTGTGAGTGCTTACCTGACACCAGTACCGTGCTCTATCCAGAGCCTGAGCAGCGGCGTCAAGTCTATCTAGCATACTCAGCGCCTCGAGCCAGGTCAAGAGCTTTGTGGTAACAAATAAGACCAAGTCATTCGATAATCCTGTGCTCGGTTCGGCACGAGATAGATGTGTAGCCCAATGCACACAGGCGTATTGTACGTGTAATGCAATATACTCTTGTATACGTGACCCGCGATCTGTGATTTCTTGCTTCCAAATCATTATGTCGTCCAGCCGCAAGACGTCATGTTGGAGTGTACTCAGAGATGCGAGACAGGCTGATGCAATACGGCCGTGTTGGGCAGAAGGGCTAACGCAGAAGTCTCCGTCGGTACAGCGATCGGGGTCGATGAGAAACTGTGGAAAACTTGCGTGTAGTGGACGGATTGGCGCGTTTTTGTCCTCTGGATCAGAGAAAATGACTGCTCCAGCGCGGTGCAATATAGACTGTGTGTCGGCTACAGGGATATTGAGTAAGGACTGGATAGTCAGTGCCGAAACATGATCCTGAAGCAATGCGAGCACGCCGAAAACATCTCTGAGCGCTGCTTTCACTGTTTTAGGGAAGCCCAGAGAGCGAATTGGGAAGGCATGTTTTAAGGCAACGAGGTATAGCCTGTCGAGCTCACTGAGATCAGGTTGATCCTCCGCAGCGCCAGCGGTGTCAACCAATAGGCTATCCATGTTCTCGAGCAGGTGATTCGGGTCTCCTCTGAGTATGCGGATCACAGTCGTAGCGTAGATGAAGAGTCCATCTGCTCGTCGCGTCAATTCATCGATGAACTTGGATTGAGCGGCCGCAGGGAGTGCCTGGCCAAATTCACGTAAATGTGTGAGATTGGTGTCGAGGTACAGCTTGATGTCATGATCAACGACGGCGCGGGGGATATCTTGCAGCCTCAGCATTTTGGTGACACCATCAGATTTCACAGACATGAATGCGTCCTCAAACTGGAGCTCCGGACGGGTAGTGATGAGAATGCGCAGAGGAAAGGGTATATTGCGTGAGCGTTGCATGAGGATGTATAACATCCGAGGTATTCGTTCCAGTGCTAGCTCCGTGCATTCGTCGAGCGCATCGAGGATAATGGTGATAGGAGCGTGGTCAGCTGAAATCCTCTTGAGGGGTTCAATGATCAGCTCATTGAGCTGAAAATCGATGTCTTGCGTTTCGCCATGAGCTAGGTGCTCTCGGCATGCATCGAGAATGAAGGAGCGCAGAGTCGGGTGTGATCGCGCAAGCTGATATGCAATGGATGGAAAGACAAATTTGGTGGTGCTTAAATCCGCGTCGCCTCGTACAAAGAAGAACGAAGCCCCTAGATTGCTGTTGGCTTCGAGTCGCCTGGCCAGTTCATATGCAACGGTTGACTTCCCAGTTCCAGCTGCGCCGGTAAGGACAAAGATGGGCGGATGAGAGACATTGTTCTCAGCCTTTGCCCATGCCTCGAGATCCCCAAGGAGTTCGACTCGTGTACCCTGTAAGTAGCCGTTCTTAGTCGAATTGATGGCAGAACGATATTCCGCCTCATTGCGGTGAGGTAGTCGTCTAGCGAGCAGCTCTTCCTCCTCTAGAACCGATGTAAGTGTGAGTACCGCATAGCTAATCAAAGACTGAAACGATACTTACGACTAAAGCGTTGAGCTTGTTCCATACGCTGTATGCCGAAAATGCGATGTCAATAGAGTATTGTGGATAATGACCTGAATATGTAACACACCTGTACCGCTTCGCCTACGTCTTCGATCTTTCCCACCATCTGGATCTGCAACAGTTCAACCATCACAATCCCTTGTACCTTGCCATGTAAAGTTAATGTTACGAATGACAAGCGGTTGCGGACAATGACCTACAGTAAAGTTAGAACGTGCATTCGTGATGCCTTCCTTGATACTATCTAATATTTTTGCGTTCTGCTCGCTGCGGAGACATCGGAGGAAAGGCGACGGCTCTTTCAATTTTCCTGCCTTGTCTTTCAGTTCATCTAGCTTCCTGCTCAGAAGCAATGAGGAAAGCGATTCTGTTGTTCAAACCGGTCACGCGCACTTTATGAGATCGTCAACTCGCCCCTTCAGCTGCTGTGTGGGCTTGATTGTCGCATCCTCATTCACCGCACTGCCTGCCTTCTGAACACTCTTGACTTCTGAATCAGTCTTCTGCATTGTCTCCTTGATTAGCGCAGCGAGCTCGTTCACAGCCTCAGCACACTCCACCGCCGTCTGGTCATTATCTCGAGTTTTCTGTCGTGTCGTCAGCCTACACACGTAAAAATGTGATACCTGCACTCACGATGATCATCTTTACTATAGAGGAAAGCGCAGACGCAGCGGTGTCTAAACCTTGAATTGGAGCATACGATAAGCCGTCCCCGGCGGTCTCGAGTAGTACGAGTGTGCCGTGTAGTATGTCATCGACGATTTCTTCACGATTATGCCTTCTGAAGACAGGAAGACAAGACATCGTGATGGCCGAGATGTGGTGGGCGATGTATAATCACCAATGTAGTACGAAGCACTTGCAAACAACAGTACGGCTGGCAGAAAAGGTAAAGTTGGAGAAGCGCGCAATGCAGGCAGGATCAAGACACATGTCGGTACAGAACCACATGGCAGGCACAGAATGATGTTCTTACGCAAAAGAGGTATTCTTCCGTCACAGAACCAGTTTCAAAAGCGCTCGACGGCGGCGGCGATGTTGCAATCACAAACACGTCCACCGAGCCCGAGTTTTGCGCTGAAGTATATCTCGTCGTGGATGGAGACGGTCTCGTAGTTCTTCCGCACCCACTGCCGCGCCGCGGATGGGACATCGCAGGTCGGTGCTAAGCGCGTCTCCTAGCAAGCGCCCGATCGACGCTGGTGATCGGGACTCTGGAGACCACCGTCCTTCCCCAGTTACTTACGCACACATCGACTTCAACAGGTCTTATAATTCAGAATCAGCTCTAAGTTCAATGGCTGCGGTGTATGCCATGGTCGTAGGGTTGATAACCGTTTCCAGATTGATAGGCCAATGAAGGTAAACTTATTTTGGCATGGTGGATCACACATATTGTAGACCGTTGAACGGTCTGCGTTGTGATTTGGCTGTTTAATGTCGCGGAAGTGAGGTTGCCGCGCAGGAACCCCATATTCTTCGCAGTCTCCAAGTCGTAGGATCTAACTGACATGACTAATTGCTTGGTTCCCGTCTGTAGTTGGAGTGTCAGAGCCATTAGTTTGAATTGGAAACATGTTTCCTTGTTGCGCGGTGTTGGAACTTGGAATTGTGGCGAGCGCACGCCATGGTATTTGGTGTTGTTTGTAGTACCTCGTAGACTTTGCGCGAGCTGTCCTGTACGTTCCTTACGCGTTTGACAGAGCTCAGACAAACGCGATATATCTTCGTTGATCGTTCTCGCTTCGGGTCTCGGACGAACTTTAACACGCGGGTCTTGAAAGACACTATTGTAATTCTGCATTGCAGGTCTCCAACACCAAAGAGGGTCCTGGCAAAGGAGGGCCCTGGCAAAGGAGGGCCCTGTCACAGATACATATGTTGTAGGAAATGTCCGTCTGAGACCCGAAGCAAAATCAAGCAACAAGAGCATATCGCGTTCATCTTTGCTTTGTTGAACGCAGAGGGGCTCACGGAATGTACTGCAAACAACGCCAAATACGATGGCGTGTGTTTGTTTTTGCATTTCCCGGGTTTATACTCACGGCGCGCGTTCGCTACAATCCCAAGTTCCAATAGGAAAGACAATTCTGTCGGCAATAAGTGATAGTTTCTAAAAGTGAGTATTTGAAGAAGCAAATCCTAGTCGACGCTCTCTGCGATAGCAATATCTCACTCTGTCACTGTGGGACAGCAACTTAGACTCTTGGATCTGGCCATCATCATGACAAGTCGATGACTCCACTACATATTACACATTGTATGCGAGACAGCTATGCAGGATGCAAAAGTCCGTCAAACAACTAGCATCGCCCCCGTGATCCGAGTCGTGCCAGCACCGTCGTATATAATTAGTCGCACCCGTGGCCTCATACGTGGCGCCGAGGAGATTCAAGAATGCGTAATACGCCGGACCAGACGGGGTAGACTGGGAACGCCTATCCTTCTCCCGTTGAGACCCCTCGGTGCATATCGGATGCTTATGGCAATTTCAGCGGGAACATGTAGGGAGACGCTGCTTATGCGCAAGCGCCGGTCACAGTCGGAGAACATGCTGAGCGACTCCTGACCAATCAACATCCAGATCCCAAAGGGCGATAGAGAGATCCCGCTATTTCGAGAAGCTCCCCGGCTGAAGCTGGAGTTCCGGCCACCGAGTGACGAGTTACGGTTCCCGCCAAGTACTGTGTCCCAAAGCCCATAGTGCACAATGTTTCCATATGTCGTGAAGAATTCGCCTGTGTCTTTGCAGTATGCCTGACTAAATCTCCTGTCTACTAGACTGTCCAAATACTTGCAGGTGTCAGGTGCATTTGGCCCCGATGACCTTGCTTCCGATTTGAAATCATTTGCCCGTCCGGGCTTGACCGCATTGGACTCAGAGGTCGCACACGGACATCCTCCAACATTGTTTGCTTCCAAGAATCACCCTTAGTCTAGACGCCCCGGGCGTCTCCTGAGCGATGGTTTCGTTCAGCCACTTCTTAGATGTGCACGTAGATTTTCGGATTGGACCTTTCGCCTAAACGCGGTCTCTCGCAGCATATAATGCGAGCAGACAAGCAGGGAAAGTATCAAACCCTCCCACTTGTCTCAGCCTAGTCGCATCCCACTATTCGACACGGCTTCCTTCAAAAAGTCGACCCCACTCACCAAGCATGTTCAACAGCCTCGCCAGTGCTTCTCGCCCTTTTGCGGCTCGCTCAGCCACCCGCAACTTCTCCATACCTAACCGTGGAATGAAGGTATCCTTGTGATATTGGAATGCTCTATATAAACCGTACTCAGCAGCTCCATACTTAGATCTTGGCTATTTTGTATCGCGGCGGTGAAGCCGCCAAGCAGGAACCTCGTCTTCTGGGCACCGTTGAGAATGAGGTAGGCAAACTTCCATGCGGCTATACGCTCCTCATCTGACAGATAATTTTGACAGCTCGGCCTCCGCCCGTGGTTGGAGTCACAGGGCCACGAATTTATCGTAAGTTAGCCTCGCTTGGTGTGGCGTACAAGCATCTCACACAATTCAACAGGTCTCCGACAGCAAGGAGGGCCCTGACAGCGACCTCCACAAGCACATCACGGATGTATGTCGAAGCTATCCGCTGTCCACATCGCGACGGTGCTCATAAACATTGATAGGCCGAGGTCGTGATCACAACCCCCTTCCACCCTGGGTACATCACTCGTGACCTTCTGAAGCGGGTATGTATCGCTCACATATAACTGGCTTCCCTCGAGACCGCCTCTCACGCGTTCCCGTTAGGCCAAGAACCTCAAGGCCTGCGTCACGGCCGGTGTCGGCTCTGACCACGTCGACCTGGACGCCGCGGTCGAGCACAAGATCCAGGTGCTCGAGGTCACCGGCTCCAACGTCACCTCCGTCGCGGAGCACGCCGTCATGAGCATGCTCCTCCTCGTCCGCAACTTCGTCCCCGCGCACGAGATGGTCGAGCGCGGCGACTGGCAGGTGTCCGACGTCGCCAGGAACGCGTTCGACCTCGAGGGCAAGGTCGTCGGCACGATCGGCGCTGGCCGCATCGGCCGCCTCATCCTCCAGCGCCTGCGCCCGTTCGGCACGAAGGAGCACCTCTACTACGACTACGCCCCGCTTGCGCCCGGTGTGTGGCGTTGCTTGACGCGTTTTCCCCGCTGCCCTCTGACGTCGGCCCAACAGAGACTGAGCAGGCGCTCAACGCCCGCCGCGTCGAGGACCTCAAGGACATGGTGTCGCAGTGCGACATCGTCACCATCAACTGCCCGCTCCACGAGGGCTCGCGCAACCTCATCAACGCCGAGCTCCTCCAGCACTTCAAGAAGGTGCGTCCTCTCTCTCCGCGCACTTGTCCCCCCTGCCTGACCTCACACTCACGGCGCTCCTCCGCAGGGCGCGTGGCTCGTGAACACCGCCCGCGGCGCGATCTGCGACAAGGACGCCGTCGCCGCGGCGCTCAAGAGCGGCCAGCTGCGGGGCTACGCCGGCGACGTGTGGAACGTGCAGCCCGCGCCGCGCGACCACGTCTGGCGCACGATGAAGAACGCGCTCGGCGGCGGCAACGGGATGGTGCCGCACTACTCGGGCACGACGCTCGACGCGCAGGCGCGCTACGCCAAGGGCACGCGCGAGATCCTCGAGAACTACTTCACCGGGAAGGCGCAGGCGCCCGCCAACGTCATCGTCGGCGTCGGCAAGTACGACTCGAAGTCGTACGGCCAGCGTTAGGGTGTGCTGTTGAGCTGAGGCGTGGTCGGCCATAGACACTAATTCGTGCACTGGTCCCTCCTTCGCAGACAGCATCTTCAGTGTATAGTAGATGTGCTGTTTTCCAGATAGAAGCACGCTTCGATGTCCACCTGGGATATCTCAACCGCTGCCCATGCTATGAGAATTTACTTTGTGAACGCCTGCACATTCAACAGTGCGCCCGTGCCTGTGGCCGAGTCCGGTCCTACACACGCTGCTCAAGAATACTTAGCAGCACCCGGTGTAGACAGTGATAGCTCGTTATAAACTTGGACAGGTGGCCAGAGAGCGTAAGCTGCGGCCAGAAACGCAGGAGAGAGCTGGGCACAGCGATCGCTGCACTCACCACAAGCAAAGGTGAGATATGAATCTCTAAAACAGGCGCCCCGTGACTCGAGTTTCGCGGAGTTGATAGAAAAATGAGTCTAGTAATGACGCTATAGTGCACACGTCCCATTGGCACCACTATCGAGAACCGAACAAGAATCAAATGCCAGCGAAACGTGGGCGGCAGCAGCTCTCAACTGATGTCACACGCTGTTCGAGTGCTACAATAGTCAGAGCTAACGATATCATTGGGTGTACGGGGACTAGCACTCAGGTATCAAATGTACAGGACATAACAGAGAAAGCGTGGGCCTGCAGACCTACGGACTGATATAGCAGGGCAATTCTGCGAGCAGACGGTCGACACGTCGGACAAAGGCTCTATGCTTTTGCACCCTGCGAAGAGGACAAAGGATCAGTCCTTGATGCCGTAGGCTGCGCAGCGACGCATCTCACCACTATCGGCATCCCAAACCTCTCTGCCCGCTTCCGCCGCCTCTCCAGCTCCTCTGCATCTGGAGTATCCATGGGCGGGGCCGAGCGCTTCTTACTGACTGCCTGCGGGGCAGCCTTCTTGGCCGTGAGCTGGGGTTGCGCCGGCTTGGCGGTCTGGTCGAGGCCAAACCGAGCGGCGCGTGCCGCGAGCTTCTCCGGATTCTGTGCGATTGAGTGTTCATTGTCGCAAAACGACTCGAGCAGTTTGCGAAAGGGGACATACGTCTAGAGGGGCAGCGGTCGCGGTCAGGGCGGAGCCATTGCGCACACCCTTGGCGACTGCGGCCGGTTTAGCCGTGTCGGGCTTCGCTTTTGGTGGCTCGACTAGGGCCGTGCCGAACCGAGCAGCACGCGCCTTGCGCTTTTCGAGCTCTTCGTCTTCGGGCGATTTGGGTGCTGTGCCTTGGCTGGACGAGGGCTCGGTCTGCGCGGAAGGAGTGACCGTAGACTGTCCAAAGATGTTGCAGAGGAGGCATGCGGCGAGCGGATGAATGAACTCACAGGTTTTGGAGGGGGCGTCGGCGCAGAGTTCAAAGCAGGGGCAGGTGTGGGTGGCTGCGCGGGGGGTGGGCTGGCATTGTCATAGTCCACGCTGAAACGAAGAATGAGTTGCTCGCGCAAAAGGAGTGTAGATGTGCGTCCGCTCACTCTGATGGCGTTGTGGCCTGAACGGGATGTACGGGTAAGCGCTGTGGCGTCGAGGGGGTGAAGGGGCGACTCACGGGCGGCTGGGCGGGCGTCGTGGCGACCTCGCTGTATGGGGACGAGGAGGACCGCTTGGGAGGCGAGGCGGGCTTTGTGGGTGCGAACTGGGCGTTGTAGACGTCGATGGCGGCGGGGGAGGCGAGGATGCGGGCGATGAGGTCGGGCTTGTTTGACTTGCTGGGGACGACGACGGCGGCCTTTGCGAGGATGTCCTTGAGGTCGACGACCTTGAGGGCTTTGCTGGAGAGGGAAGGAGGTGAGCAGAGGGCAGGGATGGAGAGGGGAGGGGCACTTGCAGCTTGGAGTCCATGGTGGCAGAGAGGAAGAAGGCACGTGGTGCTGAGCGTGGGAGGGGGCCAATGGCGGGCTCACTGGGCGGGGAGAGGCCAACGCTGGGCCAATCAGCGGCCACAACGCCTCGTCCAGTCACAAGCAACTAATGGATCCCGTCGATCATCTCTTCAACCAGAATCCGTATCACCACTACAGTCCGTCGCGCGCGCTCTCTTTTATTGGCCCGTACTGACTCTCCCCTGCAGATGCCCACCCCCAGTCCCATCTCTACAACTTCTACCCCCAGCCACACCACCCCGCCCAACACCCTCACCCCGCCCAGCCACACCACCCCGCCCACCCCTCCCGCCAGCCGTCGCCGCAGCCGTCTCCCCTCTCCACCCCCGTCTCCCAGTCCGCCGCACACAATCTCTTCCTCCACCACCCAGAACCCCAGCACCGCGACCACGACCCCCCCGTCGACCAGATCCAGGATGACGCCCCCCTCGACGAGGAGCCCCTCTACGTCAACGCCAAGCAGTACTATCGCATCCTCAAACGCCGTGTAGCCCGCGCCAGGATCGAGGAGCTCCATCGCCTCTCCAGGCAGCGCAAGGTCCGTTTGCCCCTCTCTCACTCCCTTGCCCGTGCTCACCCCCGCCTCCCAGCCCTACCTCCACGAGTCGCGCCACAAGCATGCCATGCGCCGTCCCCGCGGCCCTGGCGGTCGCTTCCTCACCGCGGACGAGATAGCCGCCCAGAAGGCCAGCCAACTCGCCGACGCAGGGCCCTCCGCCTCCCAGGAGGAGGGCGACGACGACGACACGGAACAGATGGACAAGGACCTCGACAGGAGCAGCGATATGGCCGTCGACAGCCCCGCCGACGCAAGGCCGCCCTTCTCGCCCATCCACCCCCAGCAGCCCCCCGAAAAAAAGCTGGAGTACCAGGCTGCTCCCATCCCGCCCACTCTGCAGCCCCGCCCCCAGCCGGTCCAGCAGCAGGCCCACTTGCAGACCGCCATCCCCCAGCCCCAGCCCCAGTTCCAACTGCGCTCGCCGGTCTCACCGCACTTGCAAGGGCAGCCGATGCAGCCTCAGAACTCTGTAGGCTCCCAGGCACAGATGCACTCCCAGTCCCACGGGCGCGCGCACCCCCAGGCCCGCTCTCCGTACGAGTCGCACATTCCGCTCGGCCACCACCCGGAGACGATCAGCCTGCTCAACGTCGGCTACCACCACCCGCTGTCCCACCCGGCGACGCCAGACTCGCTGTCGCCGCACCACCCGGCCATGGCGGACGGCATGCCGTCGCGCGATCACGTGCACGCAGCGGTTGACACCCAGCACGACCATTCGCGCCACTCCGCCGCGTCGGGCTCGTCCTCCGTGGGCGGGCATCTGGCCCAGAACGCGGCGTCTGCGCAGTCTGCTGCACCCCACACAAGCGGCGGGCAGTCCTCGATCAATCTGCGCTCCCCGTATGCCGCGATGCAGATGCACCACGTCCCGCACCCCCACGCGCATGCGCGGCACCGTCACACGTACATCAACAGCGTAGAGCGGCTGTATCCCGAAGAGCAGGACGTCTTGGATCTGGGGGCCGATTCGCTCAAAAACAACCTGCAGACCGGCAATGACTTGCTCCAGTACAGCAACGGTTCAGGGAATACCAGGAGATGATTCTGCTCGCTCTCCGTCTTTGTGTTTTTTTTTCACCTCATGCCGTCTATTCTTGTTCTAACTCTGAGTCGAGTTGTTCTGCTGTGCCCCATCGCTATGTTGATGATCTCGTCCCCTTCTGATTTAAAAGTGTTCGCATTCGCCCTTACGGTTCACAATTTATAGGTATATACGCGTTGTGTCGCGATGAAAATGGTAGTCAGGTCATGTCAATGTCCATTGGATCGTCTATCTGCATATCCCTTTGTACGTCCGCGTTGTATGCATCGCCCTCTTGCACCTCTTCGACTATCGCCACTTGCCCGAGAACCGGGGATGACTCACTAGAAGAGGGGTGCGACGCGACCAGAGGCCTGAACAGCACCAGTGCCTTGCTGGGATCTGGCTCAAAGTGTTGCGGCAGTACAGACGTCGCGGCGTGCTTTGACAGCCGATCAAGTAAAGCGGGAGACACGGAAAGGCTCGCAGTCGCCTGAGACGCGGCCCCCTGTTCCTGCTCTTCGTTATCAGAGTCCTCCAGGTCTGTGATGACGATGCCTAACGCCCGCGGTGAGACGCGGACGACGCACGGACGACGCGGGTACATACGGTCTTTCTCGATCTCGTACCACGACGGGACCTTCATTCGCACGTCTGGCAGATCAACCACTTGCTCCGGCGCCATGGGCTCCTCGATCGCGCTTGGCCGCACGACCGGAGTCGGGGGCAGCACAGGGGGAGCATAGCTCTCCCATGCTGGGCCGACGCTGGGCTTGGGTGTCGGCGCGCGCGCCTGAGCCATAGTCACGTCGGGATTTTGGGGCGAGATATAGGAGCCGTCGGCGGCTGCGTTCAGTGTGAGCCGTGCAAAGCCATTCTCGAGAACCTCGTATCTGCGCCGCTTCGCGCGGGGCGAGACGGGGGGTTGGGGACGGCATTCGACGATGGATAGGTCGTCGTCGTCGAGGCTTTTCCGCTTGAGAGACGGGGTGCGGAACCAAGGGTGCATGTCCGGGGCGTACGCCCAAGTCGTCATGGGGAGGTGTGTGGCTAGGAGGTAATATGGCGCGGTATATAAACGACTCTAGTGGGATTCTTGAAAGCCGCCGGGCGGCTAGCGGTTTCTGGCGCTTCCACGAACATTCCACTCCGAGGTTATCATCACGTGAGCCCCTTCAATTGTGGACGAGCAGCCCTGTGACAGGACGAATATATCGGAGGAAATGCCATAGACAGAATGCATACAAAAGCATGACGCATGCATATTCTGGTACACGGTAACACTACGTAGCCCGGTCATGATGTCGCCGATCATGGCACAAGCGTATAGACACGCACAAAACACATCCAGCGCGCGGACCTCATGTGCACGCTTAACCACGCTTCTTCGAGACACCGACCGTCTTTCCACGACGACCTGCAATAAAGATATGTATCTAGCACATGGACACAGTAAAAAGATGACGTACCGGTTGTCTTCGTGTGCTGACCCCTCACTCGGAGACCCCAGAAGTGCCGCAGACCACGGTGAGCCCGGATCTTCTTCAGACGCTCAAGGTCGTCACGGATTTTCGAGTCCACGCTGTTGGACAGGATCTGCGAGTTCTTGCCGTCGACAATGTCCCGTTGTCTGTTCAGGAACCACGTCGGGATCTTGAACTGGGTCGGGTTTTGGATGATCGTAACGAGACGCTCAAGCTCGTCAGAGTTCAGTTCTCCAGCCCTGCAGTCTGTGAGCCTGCGAATGGATAAGACAGGCGGTATGAACGCACCGCTTGTTGAGGTCAACATCGGCCTTCTTGCAAACAAGGTTGGAGTAACGGCGACCAACACCCTTGATCTCCGTCAAAGCGTACATAATCTTGCGCTTGCCGTCGACATTGGTGTTAAGGAGACGGAGAATGTGCTTTGGGGACCGTGAGTTGCCAATAACACGGATGTTGCATCTCAAGTCACACCTGGAACTGTGTATGGGCTTCCGGTACAACGAGAGACATGGTGATAGTGAGGAGGGCGGGCAAGCCGTCTGAGTTGTATGATAGTCGTTAGGTTCAGCCGTCATCCAAGGGCAGATCAAGTCATCCAGCCTTCCAGGGGTCATTGGGGACGCCTGCATGCTTCACGACGCATGCAGGAGTCACAGATGACTCCAGAGTACTGTCCTGAGGGGTTTGGAATCTACTCACGTCTCGTTTGTGCTTGCTGGGGTCGTCGTGGGCGGCGGTGAGGGCGACTCCACGGATTATGGAGGAAATTCGGGAATTGCCGAGATTAATTCCCCTATTTCAGAAGAAAGCGGTATTGCTGGTCCGCTATGCCCATATATGGGACTTTGTTCCCACATTACCTTGTAGCGAGCGCATAAAACGTTATGGGTTATCGTACTTCGGGGTCAAGGCAAAATATACGAGACAATCTTTTCAAGCTATGCTACATGACGAACGGTTCGATGAGTACAATGCAGTAAGCTCTATGATACATTGGTGTGCTGGACGAAGTATTTCTGCGCGGCCTCAAGAGCCTCCTTTACCTTGCCTGGCTCAAGCCCAACCCCTTGCGCAGTGTCTTCTTTCCCTCCGGCCTGCATTTTGATTAGTTATCTTGGCGGGTAGGGTGTCATTGGAAGCGCTTACCTTCCCGCCAACAATCTCTGTCACGACACTACCCCAGGAACGAGCGTCTAGTCCCTTCGCCTTCATCGTGGGCGACACATAGTTGACGTGCGCCACTTTGCCAGAGGCGATGTCGGGGCTGAACACATATATTGACTTGCCCAACTTCTTGGCATGCTGAACAGCAGCTTGCAGTACCTATAAACATTGTGAGAAGATCCTAATGTTGTGACGCGCCTCGCTGCGAACCTTGGCATTTCCCGTAGAGTCAAGAATCGTGAGATACACCTCAGCAGTATCCTCGCGTTTGAAGAACTCAGTGATGTTTTCGACGACCTGAAAACGAGCGGCATAAGGCGCACTGCCGTGTGCAGCTGGTGAGCCACTCACCGCTTTGGTAGCGATCGCCTCGGCTTCCTTCGTCTCCTTATCGAAGGCCTTGCGCACTACTGCAAGACGATCCCGAAGCTCCGCCTTCCTGAGCACAGAGATTTCTGCTTGTCCGAGTTCCTGCAGCTGCGTTGAAGATATCGATGCACTACCACAGGCTTATGAAGGCATACCACGGTAAGGCTCTTCAGACCTGCATCCTTCTCACCCCCGCGCATCGATTCTAGCCGAGCGAGTGTCGCTGCAAGCGCGTCCGCTCTGCGATGTGCCTCTGCAGCCTCATGTCCTGTGATCGCCACAATACGTCGAATACCTTTGGCAATACCAGATTCCTCCGTGATGATGAAGTCTTTGATATCTCCGGTCTTGGCAACATGTCTGTGCGGCAAATTCACTTGTCGACCGCAGGGAAGGGAACGACCACTTACGTTCCCCCACAGAGTTCAACACTTGTAGTACGCCATTTTGGATTCTCAACGTCTGCAGTGATCTCGTCGACGGGATACTCGAGGGCGACAACTCGTACTGGATCAGGGTATGACTCTCCGAATACGGCTCGAAGACCGGAAATTTTGTAGGCAGTGGGGAGATCGAGTTCCTTGCTGTACACCTGCACATTCTTGCGTATCCAATCTCGGCTTATGCCCTCAATCTTCGTCAAATCCTGCGGTGCAATCTGCGCCTTGTGCGAGAAATCGAAACGTAGTTTTGTTGGCGCCACGAGTGAGCCCTTCTGGTCGACGTGATCGCCCAGAACTTCCCTCAGACCATAATTTAGTATGTGCGTTGCTGTGTGGTTGTTGCGAAGAGGCCATCGTCGCAACTGCAGTCGAAGCAGTAAATGGATTGAGCATCTCGTGTGAACATATGATGAGATAGAACAGACCTCGTCATATGACGAGACAACCTCGTCACCCAAGCTCAAACTCCCGTACTTCATGTGGCCAATATGCAGAACATAACCACTGAATACTTGCACATTTGTGACCTCGAATTCGGCAACATCATCGATGACAATGCTTCCAGTGTCATACTCTTGGCCACCTGATTCGGCATAGAAGCTTGTGCGATCGAGAACGAGCCCGAACATCGAATCTTCCGGGACTGTTGACGTGGAATCTAGGAAAGTCTTGTTGGAGTATATTGCGAGGATGCGAGCATTGGTGTTGCCAAGCGCTGTCGCAAATATCAGCACAAGCCGTCATCAATGCACATCAGACACCGACAGTATTTGGCAGAGTCATCAGTCTTTGGGACATTCCGCGTTTTCTCCAAAGCAGCAATGTCGTGAACATCCAGTTTAACAGCGTCCTTGTCTGTCTTCTTCTGATTTGCTTTGCTTGCTTGCTTCGAGTGCGCCTGGGCTGCCTCAAACTCTTCGTCATTGATCTCGAGCCCAAGTTCTTCAGCCATGAGACGGGTGAGATCGACCGGGAAGCCGTAAGTATCATACAATCGCCAGACATCCTTGCCCGACATTTTATTTGCACCCGATAGCTTCGCCCTCGCTGCATACTGGTCAAAGAGCTTTTCGCCGCGATCTAGCGTGCGAGAGAAGGACTCTTCTTCTTCGTCCAAAATCTCTTTGATTTCTTGGGTCCTCTTAGTGATTTCTGGGAAAACGTCGCCCTGCATGCGATCATTACCTACCAAAAAGGGTGATGTTGATTAAGCGCACATACCATTTGCTCGATGACAACAGGGACAAGGGACGAAAAGAAGGACCCGATATTGACACCTAGCTTTTTGCGGGCATATCGGCATCCTCGACGGAGGATACGTCGCAAGACGTAACCGCGGCCGACATTGTTGGGAACGCCCCCGTCGCTCAGAGCAAAGGTCAAGGTTCTGACATGATCGGCCACTACGCGGTAAGCCGTATCCACACCATTTTCATCATCCTCGCCGAATCGACCTCCGTAGGGCGGAGCTCCAGTCAATTCTTGGATGCGTGCGAAGATGGGGGTAAAGATGTCAGTATCGTAGTTCGAGCGCTTGTTTTGAATCACAGATACGAGGCGTTCGAATCCCATCCCTGTATCTACATGCTTGGATGGGAGGGATTTCAACGAGCCATCATCTTCGCGATTAAACTGTATGAAAACGTTGTTCCAGATTTCGAGAACGTCTGGATCGTCATGGTTGACCAGGGACGCAGCATTTCGTCCGCCGATGCGATCAAAGTGGATCTCACTATGCAGATATTGAAGACAACTCTCCAACGCATTCATGAGCGCGCCGTGACGTACCTGCACGGCCCGCAAGGGCCAGTTGCACCCATCTCTGTAAGAGATGAGCGTTGAGTGCAGACACTGGAAAAGACCATGCACTTACCCCAAAAATTATCTTTCGCGTCTCCCGGAAGGATATGATCCTCAGCAACTCCTTGGGCAATCCAGAACTGCCGCGCTTCAAGATCTGCGGCTAGGCCATTCTTACGGTCACCCTCGAAGTAGGTAACGTAGAGCTGATCCTTGGGGAGCTTGTACACCTCAGTGAGGAGCTCCCAGGAATAGGCAATCGCCTCTTTCTGAAACACGCACGATGAACGAACCACAATGTTTCCATTTTAATCATACACGTACCTTGAAATAATCGCCGAACGACCAGTTTCCCAACATTTCGAAGAACGTGTGATGATATGAGTCCTTCCCCACATCGTCCAGGTCTGAAAATACATGACATACAAGAAGGGTACCTCGTTCTACGACACGTACCGTTGTGTTTTCCACCCGCCCGGATGCACTTCTGGCTATTGAAGGCCCGACTGAGTCTTGCCAGGTCCGATTGGGGATCAACGGTACCAAGGAAGATGGATTTGAACTGCGAGACATCAGCAATATATCAAGTCCTGTAGCGAGCACGAGGGCGTGCCTGGTTCATGCCTGCATTAGCAAAGAGCAGGGTAGGGTCGTCAAAGGGAACGGTGGGCGAGGACGGTACGAAGACATGATTTCTTGCGCGGAAAAAGGCAAAGAACTCTTCTCGCACTCGTGGAGCAGACCAGCTTGGCAGAGTGTGTGCCATTCTATATGAGCAGTGAAAGCGATGGAATGTAAGGTGCGATACGACTCTCATCTAATTGAGAGGAGTCATAATTGGCCAACGTGAGCGTCTTGCACCGCGATCACGTGTCATACTCAGGGTCAAGCGCGACTCGTTCAGTCGCGTCCAACCGGACCAACTTACGGTATCGGTAGCGCTCCACAACTACCATTTGTTACAAAAATCCTCATACCGACAGACATCCATGAAAGAACTTACACACATGCACTGAGGCGGAGAATCAAACGGTAATATCTCCGTGTTACTGCGGTGCGAGGACCGAGCGGACACAAATAACAGTGATTTTCGGCCTTACCGGCGCGTCCATGAGACAGTTTTTACTTTAGGTTTCTCGCACGTACCATGGTGGGACCCCTATCATAAGCCCAATATTCTGCGATTTTCTCAACATCGTCCGCATCTAAAAATCATCGGAATAGACAATTCTATGCAAATTTTCTACTTAACCTGCACGTCCACCTGGAATCTTAAAGCAGGTCGCTGTCATGTCCTCGAATGTCTTCCAACACAAAAGGACTAATGTATATGAGTTTCGTCGCCGATGGTCACGCTGGCATTTCTCCAACACCACAGTTCATTCGGCAAGCGTTGACGAGGAGTGTCTGATCGTCCTCACTACCGTGTTGGGAGAGAAGCCACCGCGTATGTCATCACGCTTTGAACCTGTGAGTCGTGACGCCAGATTTGTGCTTCATTGGAAATGAAAGTATTCAGGCACAGCATGAAATTCTTACAACAAAAAAGGCGGGATGCTGAAGGAAGCCCCAGCACAAAAAGATGTGAGAGCTGCACCTTTTCTCAAATTTGCAATCTGTCCCGACACCACTCACAACTTCGAAGGGGCGATTTTATGTAAGGGGTAATGAGCCGTGTTTTTAGTACGCCATACCCTCCTCGATACAAGTATTCAGAATCAGAGTTGATAGCGTATCCAAGTTGAACATATCAAAACTGTTGTCTGCCAAAATTCAGTCTTGTCGGTCTGGTCCATAAAGAGGGGTCTAATCATAGTAAGGCCTCCAGGTGTCAGTCGCTACTGACATCACAGACCACAAACCAATGTGAGCGCAAAAATTGTCTCATAGACGTGGCGCAGATCAGTTAGGACCGGAAATTATTGTTGTCCGTTCCCGCTCGTTTCATAAGCAGCGCATCTCGTCTAGAATCTAGGGTCAATAGGCACATGGTGCACGATGCATTATATCAAAACGATCATACGACAACAAGGCAATTGCAAGGTATCATAACATCTGAAGCAAGAAATTTGACGAAGTTTGACTAACAGTGAAACATATGGCCTGATACGAAATTGGCCTTCGAGGTCTCTCGGGAAGTCACTGAACAGCTTGCCCCACGGGCCACCAGCAGGGACAGACGTATTCCTCAATAGAAGCCCGCCTCGGTAAGCGATGGCCAGTTTGCAGCAACGCTTCGCGCCGTTTCAGTGAGAACATCGTTCAAGTTGTCACCATCTTGTGTGCGGGAGGTCAGTAGAGACTCCAGATCACTGGACAACTACCCACCTGGAGCAAATTGTATGGCTCCATACTGCGGGCCACTGATGACCCAGCTATTGTTTGCGGGGCTTACTGGGATGGGAATCACCATGTCGATCGAGGCAAAACCAGCCTGATCGAGGGACGTCCAGTCTGTGTCGATGTCCGCCCCAGTGTGCGCTTCCGAGTAGGTTATGCCTTGGTCATCCGCATTCGGAGCAAACACGAAACTCGTGTACTCGGTGCCCCTGAAGAAGTACGCTCCGTAAAAGCCGTTGGTGGGCGAAGCGGGAGACAGGAGCGTCACGTCGTAAGTGCCGGCGGGCGATTCCTGGGTAATAGGCCAGTCGAAGACGGTCTCCTCTGGGCCGTAGACCAGGACGTCGTCTCCAGCACCGGGATAGGAAGGGAACTCGATGAGGACGTAGTGTTGCCTGGAGAAGACGTATGTCCGATTGATGTTAGTCGGATGGGGAAGGATGGAGTCGATGGTGGTGAATCCGACATGGCGCAACGAAACCCAGTCGTCGACGATGGTCTTGGGCCCGTAGACGAGAGAGTCAGTGTGGCTTACGATCTCAATGAGAATGTACTGGGTGCCTTTGAACACATAGACTTGTTCCGAGTCGCTCGTGGTATTTGCCTGGACGACGACAGCCGTGACATTTGTCGGCTGCGAAGAGCACGAAGCTGCGGCCACACTGGCGAGCTGTTAAGCTAGGTGCGTCAGAGTTTCCCTAGCTTTACATCGATATTACTGACCTTGCTGAACGTGCAAGCGGCGATAATGGACGCAACCAACGGTACTATAAACATGCGCATGACTAGCTTGTTCTGTCGAGTAATCCATCAAAAATGAGTCTGTGGAGCTAGAGCCTAAACAGAATGCTCACGTACAAGTTGAAGGTGGAAAAGCGAAGACCAAGAGCGATGGTATTGGCAACACGAGCCGCCCTCTTTATATGCGTGTGTGCGGGGGGCTACGAGACTCTCCTCTGGAGTTTCTCATCCATTGTTCCCTGGAATGACACAAGTTCTGTGCCTCCAAAGCACTTGGACATGACGGCCGAGAGGGTGCCGACCTCTCTTGGAATGCCGAACACTTCGTTCTATCATACGGCTTCTAGGGAGCAGACAAACTTCACAGAACAGGGGCGTGAAATCACCTGTGGCAATATCTGATGACTATGCCACCGACACACCGGCGCGTGCGTTCCCCGAGGCTTCAGGAAGAAATCGCTCGGGTGCAGGCTTTTCCGCGTTGACCAAGAAAATGACAAACCATTCGTCGCCGAAGACATTGAATTAGAAGACGGCTTCGTATAGTCGGCTGCATAATTCCTCCGTGTTTCAACTTTAAGGAACATTGGCACTCGGTGGTCATGGAAAAGGCTAAGACATGGATGTGTTAGCCCGGGGCATGACTGTAATGGACGGCGGTGTGTGGCTTACGGTTCCCTTGTATTATTGAAAACACTGCACTACTATCGGCAGGCTTAGTACAGATAACCGCCACATACTCATAGGAAGTACGTCATGCACGGTGATTGCCCGGTGTTCTATCTGTTGCGGAGACCCGCCGCGGTCGTGACTTGGGTTGTCCTGGATATCGTTGTCGTAATGGTACAATTAGATGCATGCAGCAGGCCTATGCAAATGCAAAAGTAGGTACGGAGAGTCAACTTAGCGTCGGTGTCCGAATACTCATACTGACCTTCGCAAGAGACTAGGCACGGTGGTCCGGTGCCGCTGTAGGTAGACACCATCCATGTGAATGGTATTCAATTACAGTACTGGACATGCCTGTCGAGAAGCCTGAAGAATGAATGACGGGTATGGAGAGGGACATAGCATAGACAACATGCACTCGAAGAGTGCCACAGAAAGGCGGCGGGCGCAGACAATGCGGCAGAATAGTTTCTCAAAAGGAACTTGTTGAGCATCATAGAGTTTTCGATACTCCGGTGTATCAGGCTCTACGTCGCTCCTGGCTTCGTCAGGTCGTCAGCGAGGAAGTCCCTAACGGCCGAATCAAACACCGGTAGAACCTTAATTTCACGACGGCGTCAAGGCTACCCACGCCTGAGTGGATTTGATCGGCCACGTCCTGATAGTACAAGGCCCTGCCCCGAATATATGAGGCATGCCTGATCCTGACTTCTCAAACTTTGGTCGAGTTGTATGGCATGTCGGCGACCAGGCGACAGATGCAGGTCAGCTTAAAAATAACACGCGTAGGATTTTCCCCAAAAAGCAGGAGGTGATCAATTAAAACAACCACAGCCACTAGTTGGCTGAAGAAAATAACAGCCCTAGACGACCACCTACCTGCAGACCGTCAGTCTAGCATTTATGGAAGTCGGTTTTCCGGAGCATCCTGGCAATTCAATTGTGGCGTGGTCAAAACTGGGAACTGTGGCTGTAGTGAACATGAGACTGAATAAATGTGGTAGCGGATCAATGGACGGACCTATATTATGGCAGGCGGTCAGTGCTACATCTTGGACGCACAAGTCAGACGAAGAGGACAGACAAAGGACAGCTGTGACAGCTGGCCAGAGTCACGAGAACGAGATGTGCCAAAATACACATCACAAAAGCAAAATAGAAGATAGAGGTCGCCATATACATGCCATGGACTTCTTGGCAGTGAATCGCCTGAAGATAGATGTCAAAACAAACAAACATAATGAGCGCGACAACACGAGAGTGGCGAGAAATGAAGCACATGAAGAGAAGACGGCAAATTAGGTAACAATAAGTCATATTGAGCGATTGACCGGGTAAAAGCAAACAGTAGGTATCCGTATCTGAATGGAAGGTCTTCTATGCCGGAAGGCGGACATCTGCGGGGAAACCACTCAACAAGTCTCACACCAAAGCCCCGCGTTCTACCCGAGAACAGCTTATAGCAAAGTCAGCCAGTGAGTGTGGTACAAGTGCGCAGTCAGCAGCAGAATGGCCCCAATGAGACGTGAAAGTTTAGGCGCATGCTGGTTTCCTCTGCCGACAGGGTCCCAGCAACCAACACATCGCTTCACGTATGTTGGTTGCCGATACCCTCGCTTGAATCGGAGAGTACTTATCCCGAGGACCACGTAAAGGTCTGCGCCAGGACGAACATGCATGTTCGCCCTCCCTCGAGATACGTACCTTTTCGTCATGAGATCGAAATTTTGCGAAACAGCCGAAGAGCGATCAAGGAGCCATGGGGCGACAGGAGTGAACACACATACGGTTGCAGAACAGAGAGCCTGGGCAGCGAAAGACTAGTCTTAGTAGTAGAAGGGAGCGGACATCCATCAGAGATATAGGGACTCAATGGCGTCAGAGCGGCTCTTGAAATCGACAGAATGCAAGTAGAAGGCCTCGAAAGCGCGATCAGCCAGCAAGTCAGCCAGAGTAGTCAATGCTGCCTGGAGCTATCCTCACGCCTTGACATGCTTGCCTTGACCTTTGCCTTGACCTTGACGCTTACAGCGATGCTTGCACGCTACGGACATCACGCTTGTCGACAAAGCGTTAGTCTGGTGTGTGATGAGACGATGAGCCACTCACCATTCACACAAGTACCAGACGTGGTCTTGCTTCGGCTGAGATTCGCAAACCAAACGGAAGCACTGCCAAAGACAAGCTCAACAGTAACAGCACACCACTCATCCAAGCCACAACGCGAACACTAAGCAAGTAGAGGAAGGACGAAGCAGGGAGTGATTGGAGAACGTCGTCAGCAAGTGTCATCAGCAGTCACCAAGAAATGGCTAGACGAGTCAACGAGGCATACCACAGGCCGGACGCTGGACAAAGCCCCAAAGCCTAGAGCCACATTGAACGTCGTCAGTATATCGCAGCTCAAGCTCTGAACACGCAGTGGAAAGACCGTCAGAAGAGCACCGACAGGTGAAAGCAGATTGCCCAGCTGCTGAAAGTCAGATGAGTACGGCGAATATGCAACGGGCTTGAGACACTCACTTGAGGAAGTAGTAACCCTCGTGGCTACCTAAGAGCGATTCCCTAGTCTTCTCATCTGTTGTGGCACTAGGGTCGTGATGTAGCCACAGACGAGCCTCTTGTATAGCCTGGGGGCAGTGTGTCGAGAAGATGTCGGAACAGATCAGTGTCGAATCAGCCAGACCAGCCAGACCAGGAGCAGAAGAACCTCCAGCTAGCGTGCCACAAGCCCAATAGAGAAACAAGGGTTGGAGACGCCCCACAGAGGTAGCCCGAGACTAACCAGGAACTTGTGGCGGCTTGTGGCGGCTTGTGGCGGCCAGGTCGACAATGTAGCGCAGCGAGAGCAAACGGAACACAAAGAGGCGAACAACAAATGAGGAACGATAACACACGAAGGGTAGCCGCGAGGGATGTCACGACATGAAAAGCAGCCACAAAATGCGACAGGACACGAGGAAACAACAAGCCAATGCACATGAAAAGCAGACAAAGACAACTCAACAAGAATTGAGACGACTTGATATGTTGGACCTTTGAGCGTGGGCGAGAGAAGAGTATAGGAGAGGAGCGGGTGGGAGTTGGTAGTGAGAAAGACAGGCGGAAACGATGGCCTCTTATACGGACGATGGACGGTCTGTGGCGGCGGGCGGCTGGCCAAAGCACTCGGCAATACGCGGGCCAAAGCACTCCGCTCCACCCACGCGTTTCTCTGTGATGGGAATGCCTATCGATGATTGGCGGAAGCTTTGCCAAGGCCGCAAACGGGACAAGCAAATGAACGCCGCTGAGTTTGAAATCCCAGGACAATGGCTCTTTGACGGTGGCCAGAAGACAGGTTACGAAGACATACCATCGCGGCGATTGTCAGTTGTACGCTGTTGCAGTGCACGTTGCTAGCAAGTTGTGATAGCCGACTCCATCAGAACCATCGATCCCAGTGCTTCTTGTAGACTGCTTGGGAATCAGCGACATCAGCTACGATGTGCATCTCGCCAGTCTGGCGCCTCGCGTCCTGTGTGGCGGATCGTGATATTTGAAAGGCGAGATTGTGGCGAAAGGCTTGGGCCGTTCTGAGAGGATGGTATAGGCAGCACGTTATATTTCGTTCTCGTTCGTTATCATGATCCTCATCAACAGACATGAACTGTGAACCTTCTCTAGGGGAACCAGCACTCCTCCACGTTCGGCCAGTGCGTATAGACCACTCCTACCCTACCCATTGCTGCGCGCAGCCTGGGCAAACGATACATGATGGCGTCCGTAACATTATATCTCGCTGGCTTGTAGTCAGAGTTAAGCACGTGGAAGCTTGTGACAAGTTTCCCGTCCGACCCGCGTGCAAGCCTGACGAGGTGCGTGTCAATGAGTTCCCAGTCCAGAACAGATAGTTCGCCGCTGTTGCAGAGCTCGATGTTGAAATGCACTTGCTGGATACGCGGTGACTGGAGGCGAGACAATGCAGCAGGTATCCAGTCGTGGGAATGGAGTTGGACGGGGTCGGGGATGTACACGAAGCGTGGCTGTGAACCGTCGACCCAGACCTTATCGAAGCGGAGCCAGGTAAGGTTCGTGTTATGTGACAAATTCATGGCTATGCAATGACGGTCAATGGCAAATCCAGCGATTGCTTGCCGTACACACCTTCTCTGAAGGAGAACCACCCAGGGAACTCCAGCGTCAGGTCCAACAACGACTTTCCCGCTGACTCGAACAGCTTAGGAACGTACTTCCCGTCCGTCGAGCCGTCCCAATGCAAGTCCATGCGACGCGGGCGCAGCGCGAACGGGCCTCGCACCAACCATGCTACGACTTGCGCTGGCGGGGTCTGCAAGATCAGCTCGTCTAGTTCGACGGGAGCCGAAGGCACGATCGCCGCCAAGTCGGGGGTGAATGCAGGTAAGAGAGACGACCTGCGCCAGTACACCGCAGACATGTGCAGCGCTTTCAGCTCCGGACACGCGCACAGAAGCTGCAGCAAATCCGTCCCGTCGAAGCGCACGTTCGCTAGGCGAAGCTTCTTGACACTGTGGAAGTACGTCGAGAGTCTGTCCCGCGTGTCTTCGGACATGTCAAACATCCCTCCGGAGAAGTTGAGTGTCAAACGCTCCACCTCGTGCAGGCGCGGGAGGATCGGAGGCAGGCAGGGCTGTCCTTCCTCCGACTCGATCGTGATCGAGAGCTCGCGTACGCTGAGCGCGACATGGGGTGAATCCCGGAGTAGTGCAACGAAGCTGAGGTAGTTGGAGTACGTGAGGGAGTGCGAGAGTCGAAGGGTGTGGAAGACGATGTCCCTGATCATAGGTATGAAGGCGCGGCAAGTGAGTGCGCAAGCTGCAATGGCACGGCGATCGTCCCGGAGGAAGCCCAATATGGCTTCCCATACTTCTGCAGGCAGCTGAGGTCGGACAACCTCTACAACCTTGGTGTTCTTCCACTACGATACGTAAACATGGGTCAATAGTTTGCGTCACGACAGAAATCGGCTAACTTACGGCGTGAGAGCGCCCTCCAGATCCGTACGTGATGCGGGAGATGAGGCGCCAAACGCAGCGCAGGAGGCGAGGAAAGCGCAAACGTCGCATAGAGGGGTTTTCTCGTGCTCCTTTGCTTGAGCTTTCTCCTGTCAGGCTAATATGCGAGGCATGGGAGACGCGGTGTTCCATGCCAACGGACGGGGGCCGCCCAAACGTCGCGCGTGCATGTCGCGCAGTTTATGTGAGAGGACCAGGGTTAGCGATCTGGCAGGGGTGCGTAATCTCCGTTTCTGTTCGGACGTCGCCGCAGTCGGGGGCGTGTCGGGTCACAGGGTACTTTCACTGACAGGTAGTTATGCGCATGGCCACGGCGGGATTCAGCTCGTCTCGTAAATGCATCATTGGTGGGCATGTCAGACACTCTTCGCCCGCGCATGCAAGCAGCCAAAGGGAACACGAGAAATAACAAGTCCCAGAGACGATCATATAGTTGCCCTTGGGAACACCGAGGGAAGGAGTGAGTTTGTGCGATATAGCCTTCTAAATGTTCACACTGTGCGCCACATTTCGTCAGTGGCGGTCTGCAAGACCGTTTGCACTGCCTGGGCATGATAACGTTCGAAGCAAGATGACATTGGTGCGGGGTACAAAGTGCAACACGCCCTCTAGCAGAGGATACGTGCAATACGCTTAAAGACCGCGAGCCGAGAGCGTAGAGATCATTCGCTAGAGACTAGGCTTTGGCGGTACAGTATCAGATGATGATCCCGACTCACACGCACTTATCAGTGGGATTCCCTCCACATCCTAAACACCCCCATCTAGAGGATAACATATGCTAGCTCGATGATCACGGGAGCGTCAGAAAGCCTCGTTTTCTGGCCCAGAGGAGTCTAACCTCTTGTGCGCGATGGCGGAAGGGGCTTGTGCACGAGATGCGGGGCCTCTCGGCTCCCGATGAACGTCTGAGGAAAGTTTTGGAAGTTAAGCGAGTTTTTTTTTAGAGCAACATAAGATACACGGCCAGAAGATCCGTATGAACTGGGTTTAACCGCTGACAAGCTGCACGTCGGTCAAAGCGCTTTGCGCCCTGTGCAAACCACGACAGTTTATGCCTGGTGCAACCACTCACACGCTTGCCCCGCGGGCAAATTCGTTCAACCACCGTGCAAAGCAGATTTCTGCTCACGTGATACAAGCGCGGTCTCCCAGGGTACCATTGACCATATTGTTGTGTGAGAACATACAGAGAATAGCTAGTCGCAGATGTAATTGCTTAATTATGTACATATACATTCAACTCCTAAGATACCAGACTGTAGCTTCTAAGAGAAAGCAATACAAAAATAACAAGTAACTCACCGAACTCTGCAGATGGTTCAGAATGAAGCAGAAGGCGAGCTGGCATATGGATCTAAGGCAGAAAAGGTCAGAATAACAGGCTCCTGATCATAAGATCAGGGTACTGGTACATTCACCAGGAGCACGGGGCTCAAAATACATGCAAGACGATATTGAGACATTTGAGACGTGGGTGGGCAAGATGAAAAACTTCTCAGATTTGTCGCGCATGCCTTGTCGTGTCTTGTGCAAGTCACATGATATGCAGTGTTTGCCCGCGGGTTAAACTGCGATATGGGTAGCTGCTGGTCACCCGTGCATGCCAGCCGTAGGTCAAATCGATAGATTTGCACGAGGATCAAGCAATTAGTGAGCCATGTATCAGGAATAGCTGTGCCAGCAGACTTGAAGCTTCACGGGAGAAAGCAGGCCTTTGTATGCTGCCAGGCATGACAAAACGAGCCTCGCCCTCGGGTATGAATCACGTGCCATAAGCAGAAATAGCGAAAGGCGCCGGTATTCACTGCGCCCAAAGCGGGTGGGATGCCTGCCATGCAACGGCCGTGACCCTGACACACTCTCGTAGCTTATTCCCGTGAAACCCCACGTCCCCCTCCCCACCTTCCCTCCACGGGCTCCCGAGCGCAGCTGTGCGACAAACCTCTTGGCCGCCCACCATGTCGTCTACGCTGCCGCGTGCAGCGCCGATCCATGCGCTTTCGCTCTACGTCTGCCTGGCCTATCTCGCCACTGGCGTGGCCGCACAGACGGGCACTCAGACCACCGGAGGGCCTAACACAAGCTTGGCGATGTGAGTGCGATTGTTCCTCCCCGAATTTGTATCCCCAAAATTACCGTGTCCTGACACCTTCGTCTGCAGGATCATCCTCTACGCCATCACCGGCTGTGTATCCGCCTTGTTTTGTGTGGTCATCGTCTCCGGGGTGCGCATTTATGCTCAGTCGTAGTGTGCGCTGCCTATATCATGCATGATTCAGGCTATACGGGCCATCCGCCACCCTGAGCGGTACGGGCCCCGCACGGGGGAGGCAGGCTTTGACGGAGCCACAGCACAGAGCCGTGCCCGCGGGCTTACCCGCGCGATCCTCGACACCTTCCCTGTTGTCAAGTTCGGAGTTGACCCTGCCACTGGTGAGGCTCCCCGTCCGAAGGACATCGAGAACCCGGACGAGGAGTCGTACGAGCTGGAGGTCCATGCTCATTCAACGTCCAGCAAGGACGGACACGCGGAGACGCAGACAATAGAGGTCGTGAGCAGTGCATTGGCCGATGGGCGGGGGGCGAGTACAAACGGGGACGAGGCGGATGGGGATAAGGAGGAATTTGATGTGACCGATGCTCGGCCGACAGCGGGGCAGAATGGCGAGGACTCGTTCGGCGCGGGCTCATCAAAACTGGACGCGGAACCCGTAGTGCGACCGCGCATGCGCCCAGGTCGCTCGCAGACCGGGCCTCACGGCGATGCAGGTGGCAACGGCGGCACCGTTGTGAAGGAAGTCGTCCCTGATGCGATTGGTACGGAAACATGCCCGATATGCATCCTCGACTTTGAGGAGGGCGACGACCTGCGTATTCTTCCCTGCGAGGGGCACCACCGCTTCCACCGTGACTGTGTAGACCAGTGGCTGCTTGAGCTCTCCAGCAGCTGTCCAATATGTCGACAAGGTATGTAGTCAGCATTCCCAGTTTGCCATCAGACTAACCCGTTGTCCGCAGACTTCCACGCTCTAGAGATGATGATGGCCGGCGAAGACGACCGTCTTGAGCCACCTCGCATGCCTGCGGCGGCACGCCCGCTCTCAACCGCTGCTGCCCGCTTCTCGCGATACCTCCGCTCCGCACGGCGGCGACACGACCGCCATCGCGAAGATGGGAGCGGTTTCGACATCACTGACCCACCGATGCCTCTTGCGCCCGAGGGACGGTATTGACCGCCACCTGTTTCCCCAGACCATCGTGCGCTCCTCCGCCTTCCCCACCCCCATGTATAATATTGTGTCCAACTGTTGTGTGAGTGTTGTATTGGTGTGTACTACTTTTTTACCGCCGCATTGCACGCGATGGGCGTGTCATGACTTGGGACTCTGTTCATTCGCTTTCGTGCATGTGTACCATCAGTGCTAGTACATCACCATGTTTTGTATAGCCCGTAATTGGTTTTCTAATGTTATCGCGATCTTATCAGCTCCAGTGCACATGCTCATCGTCGTCCGCTGTTTTCGCTGTTGCAGAACAGAATAAGTGTGCCATTGTGGAAACGTACGTGCGGGCCTCACTCAGTGAAGCTGAGAGGGGACGCCTGGTAGTCTCGTAACCAGACGTTAAGGGGGGGAGAAGGGATCACGTGGAGTGTTACTATATCTGGATGCGGAGTTCCAAAAAACCCTGCACGACTCCCCCCTTAACGTCTGGTGAGTTTTGCAGAGAGGGAGGGGGGTATCCGTCACGCCCCAGCGCTTGACGTGCCTGCGGCGCGTCTTGCCTGCGACGCATAGTATGGCTCCCGCTATATCCACTCTTGCCGAGTTCTCGTATGGTCTTTCGACGCTCTCGGCACCCATCCTCAAGAAAGCCCGTGAGGAAGCAGCAAAAACGCACCAGTACTCGTCTGCAGAGACAGAAGCCCCGAGTGGTCGTCAAAGATATCGCTGCCCAAGTCCGAAGCTGGCGGGGAGTCCAGATCGGAGTCAGAATCGTCAACGACACTGCGTAGCGAGCTCAGCCAAGGGCTCGAATGAGTAGTTGGAATAGACGACATTATGATTATGTAGGTTGGCTACCGTAGCATACATGCGCATACATTATCAAGCGACTGAGTTTTGAGGTGCGCGGCGCGTCGGACGCAGTCACGTAGGCAAGCAGACGCGAGAGGTAACGGCGTCGTCACCAGTGACTTTGGTGACGCGTGATGGATACCCCCCTCCCTGCAAATTTCACCAGACCTTATAGGCGAGAGTGTGCAGGGGTTTTTAGATCTCCGACACCCAATTGGGTAATAGCACACGTGATGCGCCTATAAGGTCTGGAAACGAGACTAGACGCCTGGGACGAGACAGCGGAGCCACTTGGTGCCTACGCCCAAACGAGACGTCGAGTGGGGCGTAGACGATATCACACGCCATCCACCCGCCCCGCCCGAGGTCATGTATGCCCAGGAATGGCGTGGAGCATGCCAAAGCAGGAAGGTGCCGTCTCCGCTCCTCTCAAGTCGGCGCGGCGTCATTGGGAACCGTCAATGACGTTTCTTGCCATGACACGCGTCGCGTCATCGTCCGCGCCCCTTGGTAGCCCCCGCGACAGTATATAAGGCGGGATGCAGCTGGTGAACGACATTCGTCTCTCTTCTCATACCCACTCAATCCCTTACATTTTACGATCTCTCTCTCTACACCAACCTTTCCACTATGTCCGACACTGGCAGACAATCTCTCACCGACAAGGCTGGTGCTGCTCTCAAGGTGTGTTATGATGACCGTTGTCAATTTGCCGCGGTACTGACTATATGCGTCGTACAGCCCGACTCTGAAAAGTCCACCATGGAGCACTTGGGCGATAAGCTCAAGGGCAAGAGCGACTCTGCCGCATCTTCCGTGCAGCCCCAGGTTCGTCCCGGAATCCACCTTGTAGTTCATGCGACGCGCTAATGCCGCTGCCATCACAGAACGAGAAGTCGTACACCCAGCAAATTGGTGACGCTTTCAGTAGCAACTCAAACGACTCGACCGAGGTAATTGTTTGAGAACTGAGGAGAGCGCGCGGGCTGACTAATTTTTATCGCAGCCCTCGTTGACCCAGAAGGCCAAGAACGCTGTTGGTCTCGGCGGTAACAATCAGTAGATGTTCAACTGCACGCTGGGTTTCACTGTATGATTAGGGCGGGCGTCATTGTTGTAATATTAGCGTCTTTATACACGGGATGCATATCTTGACCAATTGTGTATACCTATACCTATACTGGTCATTGCACGTATCATCACATATCAGAACGTGCGGAGCGAGCACACTCATCAAAGCGTCGTTCCGCAAAGGTTGTCGACTTCACAGATGACGTAAGGCTTTGACGATATATTTGGTGACAATCATCAAGTCCCAACTCCGCGGGTCGACTCCCATACTAGGCAATCGCCAGTAATTCCTTTAAACCCCGCAGATTCTGGATATTCGTATTTGACAGTCTTGTCAATACTATGATCCAAAGCAGTGTTGGGCCAGTCGTCTGCCAGTCGTCCCAGTCGTTCCCACGACTGGGCCGATTAATCGACGACTGTACGAAGTCGAAAAGTCGCGGCGACTTTTCCCACGGCTTGCGCAGACACGGCCCGATATTCACGTGCGCAATTCTGGTACGCAGGCGCCCGAAGAGTCCCAAAGAGGCATCGGATCAAGGGATGAGGGGGCCCAATGACTTTACTTGGCTGCCTCTCTCTGTCATTGAGAGATCTATTCGACTTCACCGCAAGGATGGAAAAGAGGCTTGGACATATTTGCAGGATGAAGTCGAGTTGTATGAGCTTCTTGACTTCTCATCTTCGATGCAGAAGATAGTATTGACTGAGTGCTGAGTCTCTGCTAATAGAATATACATGTATTTTCTTTTACATATCTTGCTACCATCACATCCTGTTGTGTACATTATTTTGTGGCCAAATCTCCCTCAGATGTGGCTGAATGGTCGTGGGAATAGTCGCCACTGGGAATAGTCGCCACTGTGGGAATAGTCGCCACTGTGGGAATAGTCGCCACTGTGGGAACAGTCGTCGTCGTTTGTAGTCGTTTCGACTGGCATCATGCGACTAAACGACAGTCGCACGATCATTTGACGACTCGCACAACACTGATCCAAAGCATGACCCTTATGTTGACTTTTGGGTATGCAAGCGTCGGCCCGGGTCACGTGGTCGTGCGCCGGTGTGGGAATAGGACTTATGTAGGTAGTGTAAGGCAAATAAATCAGCGTAAATTACACCGTACTTTTTTACAGGTAATTTACAAGTAATTTACACTTTTTTACAGGGCTGTCTGAATAGAGGTGTAAATAATGTAAATAAGGGTGTGTCACGTGCTGTGTACCCCCGTTCAGCCGCCAATTGGGCCAATGCCTTGCACCCCGGGCTATTATTTTGTCAACACTGCTTCAGTGCACTACTCTTTGTATCTTTGTAGTCTACATACTTATACACGGTCTCTGTAGATATCAACGGACTCTGCTCGAACGTAGTACAAGTTCTGACTCACCTTTTCGGACTTAGCCGCGCTGTCTCGGATCTAGCCGTAGGTACTTAGAATCTCTTAGAATGGTTTGAACACCTCTTGTATCTCTTTGTCGAGCCAACACCAGTATTCGGGCCTCTGCCCCTGTTGTTCGTGAACCTCTCAGTCCTCTCTCATCATAATGGCTCACGCTCTTCATCTCGCCCATTACAATTGCCCCCATCATCTAGGGCTGGGAACTTGAAGCCACAGCGGCTGCATGGATATTTAGGAGGAGCTAGTAAATGTAAATGAGGCAGAAGATGGCAACTTGGCAAGGTGTTATGGGAGTTCAATTAGGATGTGTAGGTAGTTAGTAGCATATGCTAGATACTCTTTCTGCCCTTGCATGCGATATGAATGCTCCCTGGAGCTTTTTTTAACATATCTTTACATTTTTCTACCATTTTTTACTGTTTTTTACACACCGGAGGGTGTCACGTGCCGAAGCGCAAATAGTCCCGTGATTTATGTAATTTACAATTTTTACCATGTAAAAAACGGGGTCCCAAAACCTGGGTCTGTAAAAAACGGTAATTTACACACCGATGAATTATTTACCCTACACTATATGTAGGCGTTGCGCGCCGTAGGTAGCCCCATCGGTTTGTAACCTTATCCACCATTGATCCCTGTCCATCGAGGACGTTGGCTGTCTTTCCGGCGTCGTTCTCACACCTTACTCAAATGGCATTACTCCCGTAGAACGTAGGACAATGCCAGGACAACTTTGTGGATCCTACAACAATGAGAACACTGCTTGCGGCTTGACTTCGATTACCAGACGAACAACAGCAGCGATATGCTTGTCACTATCTTTGGTAAGTTCTGAGACGGTCTATGTAGGACACGAGCGTGTGTGTAGGTAGCACCAAGAAGTGGCAATGAAGCGGCAATCAGATGATGACGCAACGAGGACGAGCTGCAGGGATGCACAGCCACACCGTCAGTTCGCCGTGAAACCTCTTGAAACATATCTTCATAAGGTTCTAACAGCAGGTCTTTACAGGCCACGGGACGCTCGGCACAGCTCAAGCCCTAGCTCAGGTCGCGAATGTGTAGCCCGACATTGTATCGGATCTGGCCCAAAAGCATCACCGTCACCATATCCGCGTATCGTGTTTCGTGTGTACTTTGACCGAGAAGCAGGTTTTCAAAGGTGTCTCACAAAGTCATTGCTGGAATACCTTCACGCGCCCTTCGCGCACGCCAGGCGTGAGGCACTCGAGCGAGTTCCTTCCGAATCTCAATCAAGGATGGGGAGACGCCTCCTTTCTGCAGTATGGTGTCCCTGTGATTCGTACCTCCTCGGATTCCGGCTAATGCATGTTGTTCCTCCTGCGCCAGGCAATAGTCATGGCAAGAAGTAATCGTGACGAGCGGCTCCTTGTGCCACATATCATGATTATGCGTGGGGATGGGCATTGACCCGATCAGTGATTAATCGCTTTGAGTAACTAAACTGACTTCCCGGGAACCTCGGAGCAGAGCGGTGTCGTCGTTTATATTGATCGTGTTGAACATTCGCTTATGAACATTGCAATCAGGTGCTTGTATACACACCAGTGCCGATCACAGGTTATAACAAAAGCAGTAGTAGTATGCATATGACGGCAGGCTTTCGACTGCTGGGTTGCCCACGCATCTGGAGATAGGCGCTCGAACAATGCACCGATCTGACATCTCACGATGACATCTGGTGACATCGGACTGGCCGTGGGCGTGCCCTTTTCCTTTTTCGTACAGGACCACTATGCACCGCGCACATACTCATTCGCTTTACGACTCTTCTCCAGAGCGCCCATGGTCTATGTTCCCAAGCAAGCTCAGATGCGACGGAATCGCTCCCGTGGCCTGTGCATGCCTCAGCGCGTTGACTGCCCGAAAGCAAGCATCCTGTGCAGATGCGTGTTGTGCATCTCTACACAGACTTGCATATGGTACCATATATAATGCTGCATGAGCACATTGCTGAAAGACCAACATCTGTGAGTTCTCAACTTCTGCGGTCAAATGGCTTCTACTCCAACGACTAGAGTTCTGGGGAAAGGTAGAGCGTGCTTTGCCTGCAGGTATGCCACATGATATTGGCATCGAGTGTTCACTCACGGATACACAATGGCGAACATAGAAACAAGAAGATTGTATGGCTTCACGAGCTCAATCTTATTGTATAGTGACTAATTCATCTATTGGCAGAGATGTGACGGTGCGAGACCCATTTGCGGGAACTGCTTCCGCTCCAACATGGCGTCAGAGTGCGGTTATAACGACGAGCCTCCTCGTGACAGCGTCTCCGGACTTCAGCGACAGGTCGCGCGTTTGGAAAACCGCATAGCAAATCTGATAAACCCTTCTTTCACTCCTGTTACCTTACACGATCCATACGAGAAATACCATCAGCTGCAGGCCCACAGTCGCGCTTCCTCGCAGAGTCAAGATCTAACGCACGATCAGACACCCGTGCAGACTCCAATGCAGCGCCAGCCTTTAATACAACGTCAGTCTCCAGTGGAAGATCATTACCTCCCGGAGCAATCTCTGCAGGCGCTGTAGGTTTCGTTATACATATGCTATCCAAAGACGTCCGTAAATAACCACCCCACAGGTTCAATTCCTTTACAAATCACGCTGTCGAATTTGGGTTCTTTCTACAGATGCCACGATTTTTGCAAGCGCTACCGCAGCCTAGACAGGCAGATCAAACCGACCATACCGTCGCCCTGCTCAATGCAATTTATCTCGTGGGTGCTTACTTTTCCAACGACCCGCACTTGCACGGGCTACAAGCGGAGTTGTTCCTCCGCGCGTCGGAGCACCTTGCCGTGAGCCTTATCAATTCCACGTCCACGGCAGTCATGCACGCGCTGCAAGCTGAGGTGCTCCTGGCGAATTATTGCTTCTCGAATAATCGCACACTCGAAGGCACATACCATGCAAACGCGGCTGCTTCTATGGCGCTTGCGTGCAGGCTCCATATGGTCCGGAGCTCGCGCATCCTTCAGAACAGCGCATTGCCGATGGAACTGAATGCGCAATACCGACTTGCTCCGCCCGTCAACGCCGCCGAGGAGGGTGAACGCATCGATGCCTTTTGGACTATCTACGTGCTCGACAAGTCCTGGTCGCTTGCGCTGGGCTACGATTCAGTCTTTGCAGACGACGAGCAGAAGGGGACAGAGATCGATGTGCCATGGCCATCTGTTTCTTATGAGAATGTGAGTGGCTTCGTGAGAGCTTTCTGTGCGCACACGTCTGACCCCTGTAACTAGCGACAGATGCCTGCAGGTCTGCGTACAGTCAAGACATTTGTATTCGGCGCCCATGATTTAGACTCCGAGGTCTGTCTGCTGGCGCTTCAAGCGAAAGCAATGGTACTGTTTGAGTACGCCACCCGTGCCGCAAACTTTACTGCGACCGGTGAGTATACCTCTCGCAACGAGCTCCCGCACTTTCTGACATCAGATCTACAGGCACTGGCTATTTGTCTCCGGAGGTGCTGCAGATTGACCAACGCATTGAACAGCTCAAACAGTCATTGCCTGCGATACCCGCCACGAACTCGGGATATGCCTGCCTGATCCCCAAGCTGCTGCTGATCCACATGCTGGCACATTGCGCGACGATCCAACTGTTCCGCATCCAGGGAGGCACAATTGCAATTAGCCCGGACAGCAAGGCCATGAGAGCGATCAGCTCTGCGGCAAGCTTGTTGCGAAATGTTGATTATAGCAGGGTCCAGCATGTAGATGCGTTTCTAGGAGTGGGTTTAATCGTGCACCTTTGCCGTGATCCCAACCTCACAACATACAATTGTCAGGCATTGCTGTTGACAATTTCCCGCGCCATCAGCGGTGCACTGTCGGCTGTCAGGAACGCGGTGGCCGCCATGCCACCAGATGCGGCGCGGCCTCTCATTGCAATGGGAGCGAGATTGACGGAACAGCTCAGGGTGATTGTGGCCGCCCTGGGAGCATGGGGTGTTATATCCCCGTTCATGAGTACGTTGACGAGATTGCGCGATAAGTCTTCCGAATGTTGATCTCATTTTGGCAGGGCATCAGCAAGGAATGGTCGAGCAGTTGCAGTCAGCATAGTGTTTTTGATAAATTTGCCAGCATCGTCGTCTTCCCTATCCTTATTACAGTTTTTTTTTTGATATAGAATCTATCTGGGTCTGTTCTCGACAGCGCTTGGGTGCCGAACGACCGATATTCTAGGACTGCCTCGACAGTCCAGAGCAAGGGCTGCCATCCCGGGATCAACGACTCCTGTCGGCAGTATCAGTCTCTCATATGCCTCAGTGGCAAGGTCGCCGTCTCCACCCCTCCAGTCGACAAGAGTATGTCACATATGCCGCTTGACTGAGCTGCCGCATGAGAGCTCGAATGCCCTCGCCTATCTACATTCGCGCTCGTGTTTGAATCGCGCGTGTTGTTAACCGTAAGTGAACTTTCTTTGCTATGAAGATACCAAACGGAAGCGCGTGGCCTTCTTCGCAGCATGGGCTTTCAACTTTCATTGGTACCGACGAGTCGATGACAGCTGAGGATGCCTGCGAGCTTCGCTGCCGATTGCTATTTTGGGCGGGACGCGGTCACGCGCAAGAGGCAAGTTGAGGGCAGGTCGTGACGCGCACTGTCCACCAAACGCGGCGGCTAACTTTTACCGACTTGTATACGCATTCGCTCTTCCCTCGCCCGATAATGAAATCCAGCACGACATTACATGCATCGACTGGCACGACGTCCAAGTCACGACCGTTGCGCGTCTCCGCAGAACGTGCTGCAGTTCATGACGTCCTGCGAATTTGTGGCGGCTCTATAATGATTAGTAGCCGCGCACTTCTGCTTCCACAGCCGGTCGACAATGGTGCAGATACACACCACAGGGAGCCAAACGAGACTTTTTCTCCACAAAATGGGAGAATGAACGTCAACCGTAAGCCACACATGTCTTGACACTGTCACTTGCGATCATGCCCAAAGCTGACAGCCCCATGACTTAGTGCACTTGGTGACCACTAGGTATCGGCTGTAAGTTTTCACCGAGATGTCGATGCTCTTGGCCCGAGCCATCGGGACACGGCTTGGTACGAACGAGCTGTGCGTACCGCATCGTCTCCTTGATTATAAGGCACGACGCGGGTCACGAGTTGAGGGCAAGTGATGACGTTGATCAGACGCTGCGGCTGAGTACTGAGCGTTGATCGCCGCCTTATAGGCTCTTGTTCTTCCTTCGCCTAGAATTAATGAGCCTTCGGCGGTGCATGCATAACTCGCGCCAGTCCAGGACAACCCAAGTCACGACCACGTCTTCACAAGAATTAAAATGCGCAGAACTCGCAGTGCACGCTATATTGTAAGTCCCAGAGTCTGTGGCAGTGATAGCCGCACGCATCTCAAGCTGCTTCTATAGTCGGTCGATAATGGTGCAGATCTACACGACAGAGAGCCAAAGGAGAAGTGTGCCCAAAATAAAAAGAGAACCGCGTCATTTGCAGGCACTATGCATTATGCGCGAAGCTGACAGACCCAAGACCACCAGGTGTCGTCTGTAAATGACACAAGGACTCGGAGGTTGCAAACGCCGACCTCGTAATTGAGTAGACGATGACACTCATCAAAATAAATGGCTAGGCTCGTTCGTACCAGACATTGGTAGCTCAGTCCAAGAGCGTGGAGGCATCGCCACAATTCTGCAGCCGACTGTCTATATCCTCCACGATGAATGATCTGTCATGCATCGAGAGCTGATAGGTCCTTCGGTTGATGCGCCTCAGCGATCTCTTCGCGAAGCGTCGGGGCCTGTGCGCGCCGACATACCAGTGGCGTATTTGTCATGTGCTGCTTAGCACTTCCAGAAAACAAGGCTCCTAGATGACTTCATGTCTATCCCCGGCCGCACGCGTATAATAGGGCTGATCGTGCTGCCCATACCATCGCCCTTGGTCTTCGCTTTTCCACCTCCAACCTGTACGCGCGCGTTCTGTTGCTCCATATATTGATTGTTGAATGATGACTTGACAGAATAAGCCTAGCCATGCGTAAGTCTATAGTGATGCTGCTTGCGTCTATTGTTGCAGCTTGCACATTCAGCAAGGTCGGTGACCCCGACACCCAGTCGAGGAGATTCTGACGTACTTGGCCCAGCTCGCATGTGCGACAGCGGTTCCATGCTCTCTACCGCCAACTCCCGTTACGGCTGTCGTCAACCCGAGAGTTTCCTACGCCGAACAAATCTACGTGTTCAAAGGCACCGAATACATTCTGATTGAGCTCGCTTTGGCGTCGCCATGGGATGACTCTCTCGTCTACGGGCCCAAAACCATCGTCGACGACTGGATCTCGTTGCGCCATGTCGGATTTACGACCATCGACTCCATCCTTCCCCACCCGACTAATCCCAATCAGACGTACGTCTTCTCCGGGCAACGCTACGTCCTCATCGAGCTCCCTTCCAAACCCGGTGCTGGAGACGACGTTCTCGTCTACGGACCAGGGGATACCTTTTTCGACTGGCCTATCCTCCAGGAATCACCTGCCGGCACTTATGACCTGACGCTCCTATCTCCTGCTCCGCCCACCAACGGCTCCTACGCGGCGTACTTCTTCAGGGGCACCGAGTACACGAGTTTCGCGTTTGCCCCTAATACGAACGATCAAGGCATAGCCTACTCGGAAGCGCACACTGGGCGCGGCATTGACAAAGACTGGGCGGCCCTTAAGGATGCTGGTTTCGCCTCGGTTGACATGGTGATCCCTGTACCAGGATACGGCACAAAGGAGTTTTATATCTTCAGTGGCTCGGAGTATGCAGCAATCTCATACGACCCAAGTAGGTTGCTTTCCATCCGGTAATATGGAGTCTCTACTGACCTTGCGTACACAAGATGGCGACAGTTTGAACGACAAATACCTATGGGGACCGCATAACGTTGTTACATACTGGCCGTCACTGCACCAGGCGGGCTTCTATTGAAAAAACGCCGGTCCCGCGCGGCAAGCTGTTCGCCTCCACTTCCCGAGAGACTTCGAAGGCTATTTTACCGGGTCCTAACAGGTCACGTATTTCGCTGTTCGTCAAACTTCGTCAATTGTCGGCGTGCCTTGTTTCGACTGTTAGCATACCTTGCGATTGCATTGTTGTCGTGTAATCACTTTAATATTGTGCACTGTGCACCATATGCCTATTGACCATGAGGCCTGAGGTTTGGATTTTGGACAAAATGTGCTGCTCATGTAACGAGCGGAAACACACGACGGTAATTCTCTGTCTCTTCGTAGAATAGATAGTCTTATGAGTTTTCGCTAGTCACCCCTGACCGCCGTTCAAAATCCATTGTCCAGGGTCCTGTGGCTTTGGTCTTGGAAAGGCTTCCGCCAATCATCGAAAAGCACTCCCATCACAGTCACGTGAGCAAACGCGTGGGTGGTGCTTTGGCCCGCGTATTCCCGAGTGCTTTGGCCAGCCACCACAGACCGTCCGTCGTTCGTATTAAAGGCCCTCGCATTCGTCTGTCTTTCTCGCCACCAACTCCCACCCACTCTTCTCCTATGATATTTTCTCGCCCACGCTCAAAGGCCCGACATGTCAAGCTGCCTGTTGTCCGTCCTTCATGTGCATAGGCTTGTTGTTTCCTCGTGTCCTGTCGTATTTTGTGGCTGCTTTTCATGTCGTGACATTCCTCGCGGCCGCCTTTCGTGTGTTATTGTTCCTCACCTGTTGCTCGCCTCTTTGTGTTCTGTTTGCTCTCGCTGCGCTACATTGTCGACCTGGCCGCCACAAGCCGCCACAAGTTCCTGGTTAGTCTCGGGCGACCTCTGTGGGGCGTCTCCAACTCTTGTTTCTCTATTGGGCTCGTGGAATGCTAGCTGGAGCTTCCTCTGCTCTTCGTCTGGCTGGTTCGACACTGATCTGGTCCGACATCCTCTCGACACTGCCTGCAGGTTATACGAGAGGCTCGTCTGTGGCTACATCACATCTATAGCTTCCAGATCTCCTAGCGCCACAACAGATGAGAAGACTATGCAATCACTCTCAGGTAGCCCCGGGGGTTATTACTTCCTCAAGTGAGTGTCCAAAGCCCGTTGCATATTCGCCATACTCATCTGAAATTCAGCACCTGGATAACCTGCTTTCACTGCTCGGGGCTCTTCCTATCTGCTATATATTGATGAGGTTCATTGTGGCTCTAGACTTTGTCCAGCGTCCGGTCTGTGGTATGCCTCGCTGACTCGCCCAGCCATTTCTTGGCGACTGCTGATGACATTTGCTGACGACGACGTTCTCCACCCGCTCCTTGCTTCCTCCTCCCTCGCTTGCTTAGTGTTTGCGTTATGGCTTGGATCATTAGTGTGCTGGTACTGTTGGGCTTAACTTGGGCGACGTTTCCGTTTTGTTTGCGAATCCTGGCCAAATCAAGCACATGTTTGGTACTTGTGTCTGATTGGCTAGTGGCTCGTTGTCTCATCAACCACCCCCAGAATGATGCACCGTCGACAAGCGTGATCGGTCGGTAGCGTGCAAGCATCGCCGTGAACGTCAAAGTGAAAGTAAAGGTCAAAGCAAGCACATCAAGGCGTGAGGACAGCTCCCGGAAACATTGACTACTCTGGCTGGCTGACTGGCTGATCGCGCTTCCGAGGCTTCCTACCTGCATTCCGACGATCTTAAGAGCCGCGCCGGCGTCATCGAGTCCAATAATCTCTGCTGCATCTCCGCTTCATTCTACTACTGAGTCTACTCTTCTGCTGCCCAGGCCCTCTGTTCTTCCCCCGTATGTGTTCTCGCATCTGTCGCCCTACGCTTCCTTGATTGCTCATGCCCGAAGCTGACAGACCCAAGACCACCAGGTGTCGTCTGTAAATGACACAAGGCTCGGAGGTTGCAAACGCCGGCCTCGTTATTGAGTAGACGATGTCATTCATCAAAATAAATGGCAAGGCTTGTTCATACCAGTCATTGATAGCTCAAGAGCGTGAAGGCATCGCCACAATTCTGCAGCCGACTGTCTATATCCTCCACGATGAATGATCTGTCATGCATCGAGAGCTGATAGGTCTTTCGATTGATGCGATCTCTCCGCAAAGCGTTGTGGCCTGTGCTCGCCGATATACCAGTGGCGTGATCATCATGTACTGTTTACAGAGAACAAATCGGTGCCAAACTCCTAGATAACTTCATGTCAACCCTCGGCCCCACGCGTATAACAGGGCTGATCGTGCTGCCCATACCATCGCCCTTGGTCTTCGCTTTTCCACCTCCAATCTGTACGTGCGCATCCTGTTGCTCTACAGATTGATTGTTGAATGATGACTTGACAGAACAAGCCTAGCCATGCGCACATCTATAGCGATGCTGCTTGCGTCCATTGTCGCCGCTTGCACATTCAGCAAGGTCAGTAATCTCGATATCCAGTCGAGGCAATTCTGACGCACCTGGCCCAGCAGCTCGCATGTGCGATAGCGATTCCAAGGTCTTTACCGCCAACTCCCGTCACGGCTGTCGTCATCCCGAGGTATACCACGAGCGACTCGGAACAAGTCTATATGTTCAAAGGCAACCAATACATTCTGATTGAGATTGGAAACCACGCTGACACTCTCATCCATCTTCGATGAATGGTTGTCGTTGCGCCATGTTGGATTTAGGACCATCGACTCCATCCTTCCCCACCCGACTAAGCCCAATCAGATGTACGTCTTCTCCAATGAACGCTACGTCCTCATAGAGTTCCCTTCCTATCCCGGTGCTCAAGACGACGTCCTCGTCTATGGCCCAGAGGATATCGCGTCGGACTGGCCTATCCTCCAAGAATCGCCTGCCGGCACTTACGACGTGATGCTCCTATCTCCCGCTCCGCCCACCAACGGCTCCTAAGGGGTGTACTTCTTCAGGGACACCAAATACACGAGTTTCGTGTTTGCTCTGAATGCGAATAACAAAGGCATAACATACTCGGAAGCGCACACTGGAGCGGACATCGACACATATTGGACGTCCCTCAATCAGGCTGGCTTCGCCTCGATCGACATGGTAATTCCCATTCCAGGAGATGCTTACCACAGCTGGGTCTTCAGTGGCTCGCAGTATGGAGCCTTCTCGTATGATCCAGGTGGGCTGCTATTCGGTTATATGGAGTCTGCTGATCTCCCTTACACAAGATGGCGACAACTTGAACGATACACTCACCGAAACCCCGAGGGACGTTGTTTCAAACTGGCCGTCGCTTAGAGAGTCGGGCTTCTATTGAAGGAGACGTCGGTCGCTGCTGGCGCGGTAAGCTGATCAGCTCCATTTCCCGAAATCGGGAAGGCCATTTTACCGGATTGTATCAGGTCATGTATTTCGCCGTTTGCCAAACTTCACCAATTTTCTGCGCGCCTTGTTTCTGATGTTATCATACCTTGCAATTGCATGAATGTCGTATAATCACTTTGATTTTGTGCACCATGCACCTCACCTGTCCTGTGATTGAAGCTCTTGACAAAGCTTCCGCCAATCATTGATGAGCATACCCATCACAGTCACGAGAAAAACACGTGGGTGGAGCGGAGTCCAGCACGCAAGTTGACCAAGCGGCCGGGCACCTAGGTGCGCCAGAGATGATTGACTCTCTGGACTGCAGGCGTCGCGCACAAATCATCGATGTTGGCTGACGGAGGCAGGGGTCTGGTCCATCGTGTAACGCCCGCCTAAACATCTGCCTTTTTCTATCGTGGAGGTGATCACTGTTCATGCAATCATGATATGAATACAAACCTTACAAGTAAACGGATACGGTGGATGTATCTGTGGAGTATTCGTACTGTATGAGGCAGGTCCACTGCAGAGCTTTGTAAGAACGCGCGGTGATCACGGAAGAGATGTAAGCAAACATATAGCAAGAGGGTTTGATAGGCATCCGCATGATCTTGTATATAGAGTCGGGAGTCCTCATCGAGGCTCCATTCGTGGTTTCACGAACTTCAACGATATGTGGAAATGGCTCTCAAGGCTTCATTTCCATTTGCATACAATTTCTGGCGGTCAAAGCGTCGTACATATTGATCATGTCTTCAACGCATATCAGTTTCAGTATGGTGCCTATGTTGACGAGCAGACAACCGACCTTCCCTGAGCTGCTGTAAAGTTCAAACCATCGCGTTGCGCATTCCCGTCAGTAAGTCTAAGGAGGTCTGAGGAGGAAAGACTGTGATAGCTGCAGCTGCTTCAAATATTATACACGAAGTGTATTATGCCCTGCTCATAGGAGACTACTTCAGTGTTCAGCGTCGGACGCGTATGGCGCCACAATTGGGTCTGTCACGTGCAGTCACGTTCGATCGCGTCGCGGAAGCAATTTCTCGTGATTCTTGCTACTCTTTTCATCCATTTTGCTCTTCTCTTGTAAATGATCCGTACGCCAGTGCTCTGTATCCAATACATACTTTAGAACGCGAGAGCGCTAAATTATTACTTGCCTCCAGAACTGCCCTGTGATCCGGCCGGTTAGTTGACAAATCGCTGGCTGTGTGCACCATGGCAACTACGGGTAGTAGCAGTTCATACTGCCTCTCAGCACAGATGCCATCATCACGAAGGTATCCGACGGAAATATGCATGCCAAGTCGGTTCCACGGACATTGCAAACACCTGAAGAACACTGGAACATATCACGGGGCGGTACGTGTACTTGCAGGTACTTGCGTGTGCACTGCAAGTCACGTATAGTGTGGCAACGTCCGAAGCGAGTGGCGAGAAGCCACAACTTCTAACTCGCTGCTACCAGAACGCGGCTCGTACGAACCTCAGGATGGAGGTAAGTAACTCTTTCGCGTGGCACGGCAAGCCCGCGAAATGTGGCGTCGAGATCGCCATGGTCGGTGAAAGTCTGGAATTCGATCGGGAGACACAGTACATCATTCATTCCCAGGACCGGCTGTGGTTGGCTCAATTTCAAGACAAGCGCCTGGTGTGAAGGAAGCTCAAACTTATGTGGCTAACGGTGTGGCTGACAGACACGCAGCGCATCCTCCCCTCCCCTCCTTTTTAAGTTTCACGGGCAACATCGGCGCGCTCGCGAGGGCCAAACAAATCCTCCAGCCAACGTGTGGGCCCTCCGCCGCCGATCATACAAGAGAGGCTGACGATGTGGCTGACGATGTGGCTGACAGCGTGGTTGACAGACATGACAGGCAGGATTGGCGTGCTCGATCTGCACGCATCGAGAGCGCGACTTGGGTGGAGCAGAGGCTGACGGTGCTGTCGAAGCTGACGTTGACCCGGCAGCCGCACGGCAGTCAGCCGCCTCTGTCCAAGGTATATAAGACCCCCCTCTCACTCTTTCTCTCCTCACCCCGGCCGGGTTCTTCGCTTTCGACTCGCTTTCGACTTGCTTTCGGGTACGTCTGCCTCCTTGATCAACCTCGTGTTGCAATGGTCTCACGCCGTCTGTGATTTCTAGACGTATGTCGCTACCGCTCATTACCTTCTCCGATCGACAACACCCTCACACGATACTGACACGTAAGTCTTGCCACACTCTCGGATGACGCGTCACTCACCCTGCGCAATATAGCATCAACGCGCAAGCCCGATCTGATCAATCGACGCAAGCGTTTCAAGTCACAAAGGTATGTCTGCTCTCGACTTTGT